GTATCATTCAATTAACAGATTGAATACTTACATCAAAGGTCTGAATAAACTTTTAAAACTTTCCTTTAAAGTGAATGTTCTCACTTATTGTAGATCCCTTAGCAAGATGCCTTCTCCTTGAATCTCCATCTTCTTGGTAATTGTTTTGCCTTTAGGAATCACTCATATACCTCCATGAATGACCTTGGAAAACTAGGCTTGTGGGAGCCTCAATTAGATGAGAACATAAACCCTAATTTTATAGAGAGAGAAAATATATTCATTTTCTTTTCCTAAAAATCACCCCTAAAATATACATAAACCATGTATATTTATAGGCAACATAAAGATAAAGAAAAGGAAACAACAAATCCTTCTTAATCTTTAATTCACATGTCTCAAATCTAATATGATTCCAATATCAAGTTGGGTTATGAGTGAGAATCCATTGGGCCTATTATTTTATTGGCTACAATGAATTAATAATTGGCCCGGTCCATGGACCCAATTCAATTAATTCATAAATTAATTTCTACTCCACTAAAAGAAATTAATTGAACTCCAATTAAATAATAAATAACCTCTAAGTCAATATTGCACTTTGACCCTTCTATGCATAATTAGTTATCGGATAAATAAAGTTATCAATCCGACTACTTAATTAATATATATTTATTTTGGTACCTTTGATTATCTCTGGCTCGATCACAATAAAACATTTGTTTGACAAAAATAATAATTTAAATAAATAAATATATAATAAATCATTCTGTCTAAAAACACACGAAGGCCTTCGAATTTACTTTGTGATCAACCATAATCAATACAAAATAAATACAAGTAGCAATGATGCAAATATTGAAAATATAACCCTCTAACTATTAATTACATAACTACCCAAAGTGTCGGTTTAAGGATCCCGAAGAATCTGCCGAACAAATCAAAGTAAGTATTAATTAATAAAAGAATCTATACTTTTTTCATGCTTAAGAGTCAAATGCCATGACGGTGATAGGGAGTAATTACATACGATGGCTTTCGCAATATATCTCAACCTAACGCGGATCCAATTCAAATCTTAATTAATTATGATTCCATCCATAATTACCGACTATGAACAATTTATGATTACTATTTATATTCATGTATTGATCGCCATCACATATATATATAAATATCTCTTGTAATCAAGAGGACACTATCAATTCTATAATGAATCGAAACATAATACATTGAATGCACCAATTGTACAAAACATAAATATTTCAGGAACATACGTCACTTTAATCCAAATGAGAATTTGCTATGCCAGGGCATATAAATCCCAACAATAATAACACTGTGTACTTATGAAATGGGTTATTTGGTCTTTGTCTCTTTCAATAAGCACTAACACCACTTTTTTAATTTGAGATAAAATTGAACTCTATACCTCTTGTTACATCTTAGGCTTTGTTTGGAAACAGTTCCACTCTGGAATGTTGCCGTGTGAGGTGAGTTAGATAAGAGAAAAGGTCATGACTAATGGAATTTGCAGAGTACACCCACAATCACAATTTGACTGATGAGTGTGACTACCATGTAATAACACTATGTACTTATGAAATGGGTTATTTAAGGTCTTTGTCTCTTTCTATAAACACTAACACCACCTTTTTAATTTGAGATACAATTAAACTCTATACCTCTTGTCACATCTTAGGCTTTGTTTGGATATATACGAGAGAAAAGAGGCAAAAAAAAAAAGAATAATATTTATTATGAGAGAAAATTAAAGAAAAAAGAAATGATATCAATAATCTCTATTTATGTTTGGGTATATAGAAAAGAAAAGAAATAATAATATACATGTTTAGAAATGATAGATTAGAGAAAAGAAGATAAACGATAATATACATGTTTAGTCATTTTAGAATTTTTTTTTTATCTTTTCTTTTAAATCCATTTGTATTTTCAAAATGTCAACTTTTATCTTATAAATTAATAGAAAATACATTGTTCAGCGTAAACGTAAACCGAATGTTAAACACTCTTTGAATGCATTCAAGTAAAATCTATCCGTTTCTTTCAACAATACATGTTTGTATCCGCGAATCATGATCGTGCGGCTCGTATTTCATCACAGTAATTTTTCTTTTTCTTTTTCTTTCTTTTCTTTTCTTTTAAATCCATTTGTACTTTCAAAATGTCAACTTTTATCTTATAAATTAATAGAAAATACTTTGTTTCAGCGTAAAGGTGAAACGAATAAAACTCTAAACACTCTTTGGATACATTTAGGTGGAATCCATCAGCTTTGTTCAACAAAACGATAAACTAATAGACAGAATCTCTTAGCATCATAATACTTTCAATTGTTCAAGTGAAATTCACGTGAGTCTCACATGTATGAGCTTGTTAAATATTATTCTAAATTAGTAAGATTTCAAATAAATCAAGTTTGAACCTACATAAATTGTATCATGGCAATAAATTCACACACATATATATTGAACCTATATTTAAGGGGTTATGTTATGTGGGCTACAAATTAATAGAACTACAAATGAGTGCAGTCAAAGATTTCCTGGGCCATTCTTCAAGACCAATCCTAAATTTCCTGGTCCACTATTCCAGGCCAAGCCTGAATTAAAATAATAGTACAACAAATTAATAGTACTACAAATAAGTGCAGTCAAAGATTTCCTGGGCCATTCTTCAAGCCCAATACTGAATTTCCTGGTCCATTATTCAAGCCCAAGCCTGAATTAAAATAATAGTTATTATTTTGGCTCCATCAAAAAAAGTTGGAGCTTATATAAATTATTAATTTGGGCTCTATACACTAAAACAATTAGCATTTCAGAATTTATATAGGCGTTCCCATCAAATATTTATATTTTAGCAAATCTCAAGTGATTCCTTAATATCCCAATATTACAAATATATATATATTTTAATTCAAAATTTCCAAATTTATCCTCACAATCATGTTAACTCTTCCTTTTAATTTAAATACTCATTAAAATATTCTTAACATTAATTGTCCCATATAATTCCCTTATTGCAAATTATTTAGATTCTAATTATTTTCTAATGCAGAATATGTTGTATTTTTTATTCATTTTTTGATGGAAAAACAACCAATGCATTAAGAGATATGACCAAAATAATTAAAGAGAAGAGCGTCTAACCACCACTGGCCAGACGCTTCACTCAAAATCACAACACTTGGCTACAAGAGTCAATTTGCTCAACAAATGATTTACACCATTGCCTTCGCGAGGCACCCAAGCCAAAGAAGCACCGTGCATCTCAAGAAGAGAGCTCACATCAAAGAAGATCACATTCAAAGCTTGAGAAGAAGCATGCAGAGTCATAACTGGTTGACAGTCACCTCCTACAATCACATTGAGATAGCCCCATACCTTGAGCAGTGAAAGGCATTTCCTAAGGACTAAACCTTTCGCTATAGAAGGACCAGCAACATTGGAGAAGAAAATCGAGGCCACCCGGATAGGATGACCCCTATGATTGCGAAGGATCAAGCCTCCCCCACAAACTTTCCTAGAAGAATCATAGGCTGCGTCAAAATTATGCTTTAGAAAACCTTCTTCAGGCGCACACCACCGTGTAGGGAGAGAAACCATCGGAGAGGGCGGATAAGAAAGCAACCAAGATTGCCGAGAGCCACATTGAGCCCATTGGAACAGCTATCTCCACTCTCACATATATATATATATATTTTAATTCCAATTTTATATAAATAAATAACTTTTACAATTCTGTCTCTATAATCTCTTTTTTTATCCTGGATTTGAAACAAGCATGCAGTGTTTCTCGGAGATAATTGACTCCGTTTATTTTTTTATTTTTATTTTTTAGTAAGTGAAAGTAGAGTGGGAATTTTTGTAAACTTATATATATATATATATATCTAGAGTCCCGTTCAGTTACTCACTGGAATGCAGAGAGCAATATATACGACTTTTATTTTAATAGTTGGATTTCATCCAACGATGGAAATTGAAAACAACTATATTATTTATTTCTAGTATTTTAAGACTCCAAAATCACTCAATTTGAGTGTTTTAAATAAAACAAAACACTTCTAATAAGCTAAATTTTACCCGTGTTAGCATATTATTAGATAATTTAGACAATTAATTATACAATTTTTTTTTTCTTCAATCTAAGCATTTTTTTTTTTGTATTTTCTTCTGTACATATAGTGGAACATTTATAAATAAATAAAAAATGTCATTTATCAATCAGTTAAGGTGGCTTTTTCAAGTATAAGTCGGTATATTGCTCCCAAGGCTAGCTAGAGCTCAAATCATTTGCCTAAAGTCATACTGTATCAATTTAGATTTGTGGTATTGTTCATTATTTGATATATATTGTATCAATATATATACATATATATCACTGAAATGTAAGTATAAGGACTTAAATATCATGAGAGAGAGAGAGGTGTGGGAAACAATTTATGAAAATTTCATTCAAATTGTCATTTATTTGGTACCTCCCAAAGAATGCAAATTTTTCATTCAATACATAAATTCATCAGGCATATATTGTGTCACGATTTCCTCCTACATAACATAAATGACAGGGTTGCACAAAAAATCAACCGAACTAGTGAATTAGGGGCGGAGTCAGGATTTTAAAATGGTCTAGGTTCAGAGAAAGAGTAGTATTATATATGTATTGAATTGTGAATTAATATTCAGTGGTACTAAATTTTTTTTTTTTTTTGAAACCTGGCTTATAACCTAAGTTAGCCCTTCAGTAGTTCCGCCCGTGTATTGAATCAAACTATCTATTAAGTTCGGTCTTACCTTATAGAATGATTTATTTTCGGTTCTAAAAATTAAAGAACCATTAATAACACTTGTTCTGATTTGGAGTTGAAAAAGAGTGAAGTGTTGATTGGTGATATATATTTTACACTTCGTTGTCACAATGCATAGGATTGTCATATTCTATATATATAGAGAGAGAGAAAAGTTTATAACCATGTAATCGACCTCAACCGACGGTTGGATTTAATTTGGATTCACTGATTCTAACAATTTTATTGATACAGCAAAGGTAACATAAAAATACTTGAGGTGGGTCCTAATATCAGACCTCACAGTTGCAATAATACAAATCACTATAATTTATTAAACTGAAAAACTGGAGAGAGAGAGAGAGAGAGAGAGAGAGACAGATTTTCCACGTCCCTGCAGGTACCCTGTGATTGTGGGACCTAAGATGGGGGACAAAGGTAACAGACAACCCGTGACAAACCTCAGTACAATACAAAACTACAAAAACACTGGTATCGACTTTTTAGCAGTAACACTAGTAATAATACACACTTGGTAAAAAACCATAGTCCCTAAAAGACACCAAACTAAGCGGTACTAGTAAAATCAACCAAATTCACCAAACACTTCACCACCGCTACTAACAACTACTAAGTCACCGCCACCGCCGGCAAATCAAGTACAACGTTCACGCGCCACGCCAAGCTTCGAATTGGGCACGTCAAAGAGCAGCCTGTGGTTCTGTTGCTGCATGTTGGCTATGACATTCAGCACCGAATTCACGTTGTCCGGGGCCGCTGCCATGGCCAGGCACGTGGTGCTGCCCGAGCTGCTGTGGATCAGCAGGTTGTCCGGTGGCAGCGACACGTTCATGCCCTTGAACATGAACGTTATGGTCGGGGCAACGATCGGAGTAGTGTAACATGTGTCGAATCCGCCCAATGCCGACACTGTTACATTGCCGACCCTCCTGCGGAATGCGTCTCTCACTGCAATGTAGGCTGGCGCGACTAGCCTAGTGAAGACCGTGCCTAGTTACAAAGAACAATTAACATGAGATGAGATTATTAAAAATAATTAAAAAAAATTAAATATAATAGACGAAAAGATTTTTAAAAAGAAAATTTATGTGACCGTTGAGTGATATCTTGGCATGAAAATCATAAGCATCTAAATCGTACACATATTTATTTTACATGGGGTATGAACATTTATAATCACCCCAAAATTGTACATGGTCCATTAATATCTAGAGAATATCTATTGACGTGTGAGAATGCAAATGAAGTAAAGGGAATCGTATAACAACGGTAAAAAGAAGTATTAAATTTAGGACCGTGCCATTGTGGTCCCATTGAACTAGGTCATAAAGGCTGTAGGTCTTGTCACGAATTTATTTTTTCGGGCCAAATTGTATAGTCTAAGAAAGAGAACAAATTAGCCTAGTAAATAGGCCTAACAATTATTTTCCTTCAACATTATTTAATAAACAAAGTAATTATCATCAGACTTGAACCTCGTCCTAAAATTATACTCCGTATACAATTTAACAAGATATTGAAATTGAATGGTAGAGAATTCATAAATATTTACCAGAATCAAAGATGGTCCCGGCACCGGTGGTCGGATTGAAGGCCAACGCATTCGGAGGAATGTCGACGATTCGCCGGCCGACTCTAATTCCGACCATATTGACGTAGTAAAGGGATGACCTTCTCGGGTTCCTCAACAATTGGGTATACTTGATTCTCTTGGGCTGACCAATGGGCCCAAGTCTGAGGGACCCGGAGAAGTTAGGGGTCTTGAAGCTGGGCAAGCAATAAGAGAAAGTGGACTTGTAAAGATTTTGAGTCTGGGACAATAAAGACAATGGACCCCTTCCCAGGCCCAAGAGACCCTGCGGCGGCAGAGAGCTGCCGGTGGCCTTCTGGATGCACCCGAAGGTGTATCGGGGAACGGGGTCGGTGGAGAGGGTCATGGTGTCTTGTGAGAGGTTAGCTGCTATGCTGGAGCCGCCGTACGTCAAGTTGAAGCTGCACGCGCCGCCTGGGCAGGTGGGATTTGGTACCTGAAATGCGACAACCGAGGCGCAAGTTAGCAAAATGCCCAAGAAAATACTAACTTGTCCAGTGCTCGTGGCGGAGGGCGTGTTTCACGCTCTTTTGAGCGCGTCAAACAGGACTAAAATCCGTGACTTTTATTAGCCGTGAACTAAAAGCCACTAATCACGTGCTAGTTGTTTAGTTCAATATCATATATATATATATATAGGATTTATTTTGTGGGACCAATGCTAAAAACACTTTTGGGGTCATATAAGTAGATTTAGATTTTATAATGTAATCATTACAATTGATCTTGATTTATATATATACAATATTGAAAGTGGATTAAAGTGTACCCTTCAAATATGATTAGGTCCATCTAATTATAGATATTTGACTTTTGCTTAAAATTCAAGGGTACATTACTCCGCATCACACGCTCACTTTCACTCTACTGTGTGAGGAGGCTAATTCATCACCACGCGCCACCTAGGTGGCGCGTGGGCTCATGTTTGAAAGTAAAAAGTGAATGTGGACAATAATTGAACGGTCATCATACCTGCTTGCACTGAGCAGCTTGGCAGCCAAGGGGCTTGAAAGTGGTGGACTTCACCGGAGAAAACACGGCGGAGGAGCACCCTACGCAGCCGGTGCATGGTATCCACGCAGCGTCATTGTTGGTGTCCATAGCCATGAGCATGGTCTGAGGTGGTGTACCAATCTTAGCCTTCACAATATAGGTTGCGCTCTGCATGATCTGCCTGCCGGAAGCTATGGGCACCACCGACTTGCCGGCGACGAGGCTGGCCAAGTACTGCAGCCTGGCTTGGTCTTTGGACTCCATTTGAAGCACACTCTCTTCCCATGAGAGTGGCTTTCGCGGCCTGAATGGTGAGCATGGGCTGTAGATATGGAAGACTTGGAGGGTTGAGCCTTGCTGCGGTGCGTCACACTGGGGTTGGTTCAGCCCTTGGGCTAGAGAGAGAAAGAGGAGAGAGAGTGAGAGGAAGAGTAGGGGAGGAGGGAGTGAGGTGGTCATGGCTAGCTGTGGACAAGAGTTGATTTTTTGGATGGTTTAGTGAGAGTGTGTGTGTTTGTGTGTGTATATATAGTTGTAATGTGTGACTGTGTTTGTGTAGTGGGGGAACTTCGACTAATGTTAAGGAATGGGTAGTTTGCTAAACAGACTGTATTCCACTTGTTTTTGTTTCATACCCTCTCGTGCCCCCTGTCCATTTTAAGATACACATAGGTATATATTGTATTTCATACTTTTTCTCACTTTTTTTTTTTTTTTTTTTTCTTTTTTTATTTTATTATTATTATTATTATTTTTTCATTTTAAAACAATCGCACACTCATTACACACGACATGCTAGGACTCAACTCTCAACCTTTAAAGAAATGCAAGATTACGAGTTCAAGGACGGGTTTAGAAAATTGTGTGAGAGTAGCAAAGTTGAAATTTTTACGAGGGCAATTGCCCCCAATGCCAATGCACAGGGTCTATGCTTGTATGAGTTTACACGCGTGTTGTATTGTAGTAGATTGTTATAACTCACTCAAATGTGTAATTGTGTCATACCGGTGAGTGTCATGTCCGTCCAGTGCTGTATAGAATGGATAACAAAATTAAATTCATAGAGATGAGACGAGACATCTGAACTAAAAGATTGAAGAAATAATGGAATATTGAAATACAATAAACATGCTTATGGACTAGATTACACATATATCAATATATATACATCTTGAAGAGCAGAAAATAATAGAATTTTGGAAGAGGATCTAGTTTACATTCTGTCATTTTTGTCGATTAATCAAAGCATCTTGTGTGAAAAACTGTCACAGTACCACTGCTTGTCTTCTCTGCACCAAATAATCTGATTTCACTGTAATATTTCCAAAAGAAAATGACATGACCTGCATACAATGATCAATTGATCAAATCAAAGAAAATGACATGACTTGCACATAATGATCAAATTGATCATATCAATTTCACATGGTTAGCACTGGTGACTTTTTGTTTGATAACAAATACTATAATTAATTGACTTGGTCAGATAACTGCAAGCAGCAAATTCACTCAATAATGCTCTGTTTGCATCAAAATGTTTAAATTTAAATTTACATTTTGTTTTTTTTTTTTTTTACTTTTTCTTTGTAAAGAAGTTTATCATATTACCCTTTATAGAAGCTTATCAATAAAACCATCATAAAGGTTAGATATATATATATATTTTTTAATTATCAGAAGACCCTTGTATTACATGGAGGCTAATAGTAGAGGGGTAGGTCATTTTCAATGCCTTGATAGTTGATAGGAATATATATGGTTTCCAATGAAACCTTGGAATCCTAGGCTATGTGTAATGCTCACTAGCCACATGTGGTAGTGATTGATTTATTTTATGGTATAAGAAAAGGGCACAAGTACTCCACAATGCTACTAAATTGAAAACATAGATTTGTTCAAATCCACCTTTATAAGAAATTGAACTTTAACAATGTGATATTGCTTTGTGAGTGATGGGATTCCCCCCACTCTCTCTCTCTCTCTCTCTCTCATGCTCATGGAAGATAGTGACTAGTAATGAAACAATGGAAGTGAAAAGGAAAATGATGGGCAATTCAGGACTAATTTATTATCTTGAAACATTATGTGGTGGTTATTGATGCACAGGAGATATTGATTTGATTGCTTTAATTTAAAACACAAAAAAGAAGATATATAAAGGGTTTAAAAAAAAGCATATTCACTTTCTAGGCCCTTTTTGGGTAATGGGGTTTTTTGTTCACATCTAATTTTATTGCTAAACAAAGGAGAGAGTACAGAATTTAGCACCTAGTGCAGTCTAGCTAAGCTCTGATACTGTTGGTCAGTAATATAAACTACTGATAATTAAAATGGAGCACAGTGAAGCTACATGTGGTTGTACTTTTGTGAATGGTACAACCAACCATGGTTTGTCCAAGCTAATCCATGGACCCTATTAATTTGTAATCTCAAGACATTGTGATACTGGTTAAGTTATACTTAGTTGTCGAGAATTCGAGTCTTAATAAAGAGTTCGAAGACATAAGTGTGTTTGATTAACCTTTGAAAAAAAAAAAAAAAAACAAACAAAACTCCGATTAGTTATGTTTCTTTCTTATTTATTTTCTACATAGAGCATTCCAACTAATTAAGAGAGTTTCCTGAGCAAACAGGTTTTGGTCAAATAATTTTAAAATGTGAGAACTCTTGTATACATAGCGTGTATGCTAGTGTGTAAACTAGTTACTTATTTAGAGATGGTAATGTGGCGAGTTTTGAGTAGTTTTTATTTATTTTCATCCTGTTTAACAAAGTAGACTCTGTCTTTGCAAAAAATCGTTTAGTAAAAAACTCTTATACGATACAATAGAAAATGTAATAGTTTATGAAATGATAAATGGATAAGATAGAATTTTGGTGTTTTAATTTATGAAAGGCTATTTTGATATCATTAGTAATATACAAGAGTATTTAAGTAATTATGTAACCTTTCAATAAAAAGTAATTATGCAATAAAAACGAGTTAAAATTTAAGTCATATAATTTTTCTCAGCAGATGTTGGTCACACGCTTTGCATGCTCTTGTTTCGATTCTCACTATTTGTAACTTAATTTTATTATTTTCGTATTCTCGTTTTCAGTCTTGCTTTATGTTACTTAGGTTAAGATAATTTTGCTTAGCCCCAATTTTTACTCTCTTTTAATTAAATTATTTCACATCTGTTCCAATAAAGACAGGACAGGAAGGGGTAATTTGTCACCCAAATACCGAACATTTTCACCTCTCACTCAAATATATACACCAAGAAGGGAAGTAGACAAAAGTAAACTTGCATGCATATGTCATCATCTTTCATTCTTTTTGATGTGTTGTGTTAAAGGTACAAGCAAGCACTTGGTGAACTTCTCCATTAGTTATTATTATTATAATTATTTTTTGTTGGAATGGTATGGATAAACTATTTTCAAAGCATGATTGGCAAGTTATGGTTATGGCGGCATTATTAATTGAAATCGCAAAGTAATAAATTTTTAGTGTAAATTGATCGATACAATAGCTCATCAGAGTTTAAAAAAAAATAATAAAAATAAAAAATTAATAATCATGTATCACCGTCACGCCAAACCATACTCCAAAGTAAAATATTTGTTTTCAATTGAGTAATTGTAGAGTTTTGTTTCTATAGCCGTCGGTGAGATTTAATTACAACACCATCTTCATCCTAATAAAGTGTTTTTTTTTTTTTTTTTGCCTCTGCCCGTGGTTGTCCTTTTGATGGTGGGAAAGGGACGTGACCTTACACAATTGCATGTGTCAATCACTCACTGCATGCCATTCATTTACTTTGACAAAACTTTGCAAATTCACCATAATTGGGGTCACCACCACCACATTGGTGTATGCACAATCAAATCCCTGTATTTGTTCCATGGTAAATTATTACTGCGTATTTACTCTAATAGATATATATATATATATATATATACACACACACTCCATATTGTTTGAATAATGAAAGGTTGGATTCTTTTGGCTCAACATAAATTCAGAAACAAGAAAAGTGGATCACGCATGCATGTGATCTCAAACAATGTTGTCCCTCCAAGGAAGTAGGAAAATTTTACTATATAAAAATGGTAAAAGTGTAAGAATAGTAGTAAATGAAGTTCATTCGCTAGAGTGGGCCCCAGTTTCAATACCAGAGGTAGGTTTTTGCCATGGTTCTTTGAAAAACTTTAATACGTTTTATTTATTTATGTGACATATAATAATAATAATAATATTTATTAATATAAATTATTTTTATTTATGACATTCTCCTTGTAAAGAAAAAATTTGTCACTGATTCTCAATCCTCTCTTGAGGTCCTGTACTTTCAACAGCCTCCACACTCAAAAAGACATTATTTGACGACCTAACATAAAAACAAAACAATATTTTTAAATTATTATATTAAATCACAGTAAATATAATATTATTAAATCGAGAATAAAACACATGTAACACTAATTATTATGCATTACTTTCTCTGTACAACACAACGGAGTTGTGTGTGTCGAAAGCAAATGATCCTCTTTATAATGATTCTTTTCTCATTTCATGCTTCATGAAGTATTAAATTTTAAAATTAATTTTTACTAATTGTGATTAATTCTCTAAAAGAGAGTGTTTAAATATCAACTAAAAAAATAATATCTTTTCTGTTGGAGTATCCATTTAATTTTTATTTTCTTCTATATTCTGTTGGAGTACATTCATTTAATTATTGTTCTTCCAGTAACAACCCACGTGATCACCATGGAAGAATCAAGAAGTGGAAGAGCCATAAGTCCTATAAGGAAAAGGTTTCTGACACCTCCTGTCATATACTGTGTATATATATATACACACATATATATGTATAGAAAGAGAGATGAGAGAGAGAGAGAGAGAGAGAGAGAGAGAGACGGGAAGGGGAGCTTTCCTTTCCGTGAATGATGCACTAAAATTCTGCACATACATCTGCAGGCGGTTTTAACTTTTTTATCTGTTTGTCCTCTTGTTCACTGTCCTTTGCACACTTTTCCAAACTATTTTAGTTCACGAGATAGCTTTTCTGTATGTACTATTATACGTTTATATGGGTATATCTCTGTATGGGGTCTCTCTCTACGTTGGCCGACAAAACTCCCCAATGTGACTCCTTATCACCACCACCACTGGAGAAAATTCTCCACAAAATGGTCCAACAATTAATTGAATATCTTCTCCAACACTATGTTAATTTATGATTGTCCCCAATTGTCAGTGGAAATTACTGCTGTTCTTTGGAAGCCATAGAGATGCTGCCGACAATCACTCATTATAGGAATTCAATCTCATAATCCTACAATTAAGAATCAATTCTCACAATTATTTTTTCCTTTATGCACATATACAAGCTAAACAAACTAGTAATGCTACAATTGAAAACATTGTCGGGACGAATTTAAAAATTCATATAAAGGAGAGCAAATTTGTATAAAGAGATTTTTTCATAATTTCAGTAAGGGTAATTTTAAAATTTTATGAATATAAATACAAAAAAAATATAAATTAAAGAATATAAAATGTAATAATAAAAAATTTTAGTAGGCCCACAGTACATCTTTGCCTGACATCGAATATATCCCGCAGCTATTTGCCCATGTCTTGTTGTTTAGTGAAATTCGTAGTTATGTGAGACATTCGATTAGACAACATTCGGTGTGACTATTTACTTCTCTTTGCGTTACTATTGAAGTGAAGCTCATAGTTATGTTAAGCATTTGACTAATCATGTATTATTAATTTTGAAATTTTCTTAAACAAAATTGTAAAGCATATTGGAATAAATACTAATTCTTGATTATGAATTTTAACATTAGTTTTTTTAGAGTTCTAGGAGGTGTGTTCTGTCCTGCACCGGATTCAAATGAAAATAATATTGAATATATTTGAATGGGTATGGTAGGCAGTATATGGTGTACGGCGGAATTACACCTATGCTAGTGTCACCCTTTTAGCATAAGTGCGCTCTTTCAAATAACAAATTGCATACTACTACTTTAAGATCAATAGGATATAGGATCATGATAGTGTTAGTCATAGATGTAAAGCGCATATGATTGTTTATTTGCACTCTACTCTATTTACTTCTTTTAAAATAACAATAATCTTATTTGGAAGTGTGATTATCAAATTTCGTCTGTCTTCTTACAAAGTCATGCACTTAATTAGTTTGTTCATATGAAAAGTTGAATTCTCATTTTACCGACACTAAAAAAAAAAAAGGGAAAAAATTGATACTTTTTTTTTTTTTTTTTTTTTTTTTTTTTTAGTGTCGGTAAAATGAGAATTCAAACAAAAAAAAATTGAATTCTCAATTTTTTACTTTTTTTTACTTAAACGAAGCACAACCAGTCAACCAATGAGGATCGAAGTCGAAGGCACGGCCAAGCATGATATTGATGATAGATGATGGCATGATGTGGTAAATAATGGGTTAATTTGCTCCACTAAAATTAGTTAGAAAACTGGATTCGTCATTTCGTGATCAAAAGTAATTGTCGATTAGTAAAAGGACATTTAGGTCTTTTTCTTAGCCGAAAGGGGTTGTAGATACAAGATTTTAAAAACTCAAAAGGTGTCCCTTAAGAAACAAAAAAAAAAAAAAAATAGCCGTTAACATCTCATGAAGTGTTAATCCAAAACAATATATTCTTAGTTTTATAGACTTCTTTGGGCCTTGTGCCTGTAGTATACATGAGGGCTAATTGTGGGGACGGGAATAGGAAATTTAAGGAGAGCCTTGGAACAACATATTTTGTACCTGGTTGTAGGTTCAAAACTCAACACATAGAATTCTGAGGTTTGGGGTTTGGTTGCCTTCCAAGACAAATACAAACAACTCACTGTTCAATTGTATCTCACAAAATTATGTCAAAAACCACATCAATCTGGACAGTAAATGCTATTCTATGGTTAAAACTCATTCACTCGTATACACAAGCAAGCGTTGAGTATTTGGATCGGGATCTCCTCCACTAATTGCTGATTTTCACCGGAATAATGATCAATCTTTACTCAAACAAAATATTGTCCGCTTTTGACTCTCCTGGATCAGAGACTTCCGAAGGGCTCCGAAGGAATCACCCATTCTAGTACTACTATAGGTTTACCAAGCTCAACTCCGGAATTCTAATATGTTCACGATTTTAAAACTGTGTTATGTAAAAAGAGTGGAACCACATACAATATTTCACCTTTCCTAAACAATGCGGAATCATAACACCCTGTAGCCTGCGGTGCCCGCCCATGCCCATATCACACCTGCCCACATAGGTCATTGCTATGATATGACATTGATGAACCTGCGGAAATCAGGGATGGTGTGCAAACAACAAAAAATTTCTTGCTTCGAAGATGAGCAGGACAAACCGCGAAAATTGTGGAATGTAGATTGGATTTTCTTCATTTAACACTGATAGGGTTGATTAGTGTCTTGATCAATTTGTAGAGGAAATTATCCGGGAAGAGTGGAGGAGCATGTCCGAGTAGGATAAAAATATCACTAACAGTCTCCACAAGGAAATGTAGCTTTTGATGTGCTGTGTTTTGTCAGACTAGAGCCATGTTACTCTTTTAGTCCTCTCTACCAATGGTTGGACCCACCTGAAATGGTCCATATGCATGTATAGTCTATTGGCACATAATTGTGCCTAGTCTAGCCCAATCAATTTTATGTCAACTGTTAGCCTAATCTGTCTTTCAGATGGACTCAGAAACTGTATCACAGTCTTAATAAAACTTTTAAAAAATAAAACCCCCAAAATTTCACTCCTCTGAAGCAAATACATTCATCTGATCTTTCTAACACTATTCCTTCACAGGGCTAATAGTAATAAAACCCAAAATTAACAAAGTGGAAAAGAAAATAACAGAGCTTCAATAGGAACATGTCTAAACAAAATGTACATATCATGAGAGCTGCTCTATACAGTCAAAAGAAACTTACCTTCAAATTGCCACACTGCATTCAAAGTTACTGGACAAACCCTTCATAAATATGGGATCAAATAATTAAACAAACAAGTCTGGATATCAAAATATCACTCAATTAATCAGACATACCTTGCAAATCTCAATCGTAACAAAATTAGTTCATCATTGTCCAATCTGATTAAAGTTAACAGTCATGATTTACTGGCAATAACAATAATGCAGAAGAATTACTATTCATCCCCAATTATATGTATACTAGATGCATGCAGCATTACGTTGAGAGACTGTGATGAAGAATTTAAATGGTTAAAAAAGTTCATGTTGCTGTAAATTTACTCTTCTTAAAAGAAAATGTCTTCAGGATCTAAGGCAACAAACACCTTACTTTCCATTTGTATATTCTATTTGTGACAACAAGAATTTAACCTGAGGTTCATGTTTGTTAATCTATCTAAGAAGCTCCACCGAGATCAGAGTTGTTTTTTTTTTTCTCCTCAAAATTAGGGTTTCATGAGTTTATGCCCATCAACCACAGAAATGTCTTTATTCAGTGCTCCACCCTGGAAGGTTAGCAGTAGCTTCATTTATCATCTTTACAAGAGTGACCTGCAAAATATCACAAGTGAATAGAGGATTAAGAGGAGAGAACAGAGACAATCATAACTACCTTGACGTTAAAAACACTATCACAAATAGTCTATAGAGATTCTATGAACTTAGAAAGAAAAAAAATGTGTGTGTGTGTGTGTGGGTGGGGGGTTGTTCTGTCTCTTATGGATCCTATATGTTTGCAATGACCCAAGGGTAGTTCAGATTTGTGCATCTAACCATATTATCAACCTGATACATTTATAATATTCGGGATATACTAATAAGTAACACCAAGTAACACGACAATTGCGGCTCCCCATAGATGAATATTTGAGTGGAGCAAAGACACAATATAGCAGTCAGACATCAGTGATTTGCAATGAGAAACTAAAAGTTATACTAGAAGTTTCTAGAAAAGTTAGCAAAGTTTATGGCTTGTTAACAAGTATTTCTCGGGGTTATGATAAAACACATTGATGGCAGTTAATAGATAGACTTGAGCAGTCCTGTCCTGTTACTATAGATTTTTTTTTTTTCTTTTTCTGGAAGTTGTTACTATAATTTGCTATAACCAAATATGCCTTTTTATAAGCATTTTAGCTGTAATTTTCATAATTTGACTTGTATAAGTTTATACTTTCAACTCTAACAATTTTCAATAGTTTTCCTAAAGTGTTCCTTTTACTTCTATTTTTTGTTGAATACCTTTTGTTGGCTAATTACCACGTATACATTCCAGATCTCTCAAGGTGTAAATGAAAGGTAACACCTCAATCCTGTGCTAAATGCCTTATATGTGTGTCATGCCAAAACTATTAAAGGCAAGAGCCAAGAGTCAAAACATCCATGACCAACAAAGCAAACTAACGTCACCCACACAATTGGGCATATAATATATACATACATGCCTCAGTATTATTCTTTATAGTACTATATAAATTAAAGGTCCAACACCAACATCATCTTCATGATTAAACTATAAATGGGTGCTGGGAACCCCTAAAAAAAACTAGTCTTTTTGGATACAGAGCCGGCCAACTGTGACAGTGTGCACACCAACAAAAGAAGTTGTTGATTATAGAACTGGAAATGAACAAAAAATAATCTCACAAAAAGTAATATTTTTAGAAGAATGATATCAAGAGGGATGACTTGTCAATATACAAAATTTCTGATACATTGTGTTAGGAATGGTGTTTTTAGAAGCCTTGAAAACATCAGAAAGAATTCAAAATTTTGGAGATAAAATTAGTAACTACGATGTGTGGAAATCAAGAATAAAAATAGGTTACTTATCAATAACAAAACAACATATAGAAGAATATAAACAAAATTCAAGGATAATTTCATATAAGATGATTGAGATCCCATATAGGGGTCTAAATAGTGGAGGCCATATAAGAGGTAGTGTTAATAGCTATACTACATCCCCTATATTATCATTGGGTGAGGGTATTTTTTGACCCCAATAGGGATGACGGGATGGTAGTTTCCTTTCAGATTTTTTTTTCTTCAGCTTTAGGATTTCTCTTAGCTTGAGTTTGAGTCTAGGTCTTCATTGTAATATTCATTTCTCGGTACTAGAACATACCTTACTAATCAAAAAAAATAAAACCTAAGAAGCAAGAACACGTATATGAAAGTGCCATGTCTGTTCAGACATTGGCAATTCACACTGGTGGACACATGTCAAACACTTGATAGGTGTTTCCATTATCTAAAAATATATTTGTTATTCCAAACACTTGCTGACACATTCTAGACAATTAATTAATACATCCCAAACACTCACCAACACAAGTATTTTGTAACACAAACATATATAAAAGCAGCAAAGTCTGACAATCTTGGAAACATTATGAACACACCTCAAGGTATCCAATTTTTTCTCCTTAAGAAGAATTGACATTATATTTATACATATGGTAAGCAAAAGTTAGCATTTTTCATATATAGGACAGAAATATAGTTGTAATTACAGAGTAAGAGAGCAGTAGAATAAATAGCATAATAATCTTCACCAGATTCACAAAGAATCATCTTCTAAATTATGCAACTCTCCATATATAAATTAAAAATTAAGAAAAGTTCTGTAATTTTATTGCTCAATAGATGTATATAAATAAAACTTTATATTTATGTCGTGCCTATGTGTGCTCCTGTCCTACTGTTTTAGGATTTGATGTGTTGACCTATCCAAGTTACATGTATTCATGTCCCATGTCTGGCAATGCTACTTACAATCAAACATGTAGAATAGTATATAAAATATCATGTTTAAAATGTGTTTGGAAGTTAAGTGGGAAGAAGATGATGAGGCTGGGCAGCCACTTTTCTTTTCCTTTTTTGGGGGATGGGTTGTCCCATGCCATTACCATTCATAAAAGCAAGGATGTCTACGGTCATCTATTTGGGTAACAGTCCCATAATTTTCCTTCAAATCTTAAAAGGACTCAACTAAAGGACTAATAAACTCAACATCAAATACTCCTCATCTATAAATGACAAAAACCCTCAAAACATTCTAAATCTACACAAACCAATAAAAGAACAAAAAACAACTACTATGAACATTTTCGCAAAGAAGTCTTCTTGAGTATCACCTGGTCCAATTTTTATATCTCAACAATGCAAAAAACATGTGTCTTCTCTAGTAATAGGCTTCTGAGAAGGATAGGCAATGGAAATCATGATGGGACCTATGTTTCATACAGGATTCACAACTATGTAGGCCACACAAAAAATTTAGGGTTAGGTTGCAGCGTTGTTTCTCATTTTATGGATTTTTGATATTTATCTTTTGTTTGTTTAGTGTTTTCCTAGTCCTATATAAGTCTACATGCAATTGAAAGTATTACATTTTGAAAATTGATAAACTACACAATATTTTAATTTTTGTCTTTCTCTAGCTTCAATCTCTTCTACCTTCCTCGCTCTCTCTTCTCTTCTTTTTCTCTATTCCTTCTTCTTTCTCCCCTTGCATCAATTGGTATCAAAACAGACAAAGCAGTTAGCGTGTTCTTCCTGCATTAACTGTTCGATAAATAAATGGCATCTGCATCAAGTACTCTATTGAAAACCCATTCTAGAAATTCCACATTTCTGGATCTACTTTGAGGCATTGAAGGCGCATATGGTCATTCAAGTTACATATTACCATAACGCATGGCGCACACATTTATATTGCAATTCACATTCTGATGGGCCCAATTCAGAAAGTTCAAGTGTAAAAATAAAAATAAAAAATAAAAATAAAAAACAAAAACATCACAAGAAGATCCAACCATTCTGTCTTTATATTACATTGTAGCCACGAGTCTAAAGGACGCTGGTTGGAATGGTTCTTCGTTGCCAAAAAAAATCTGAATCTTATACATTGTATCTCCAAATAACTTCTAGAATTTTTTCAACTGCACAAATGAATTTAATGAAAGCAAATGGGAAATAATAATTCATTCAATCTATTTATTATTATTTTGTAATCTCGATCTCTCAAATTAGTGCAGTAAAACATTTTTAATCCATGAATTAGGCATTCCACATGGCGTGCTAGCCATATGAGTATGTTCCCAAGTTTTAGAGCCCACTTTCTTATTTGGAAATCTTGCGAAGCAAGAAAAATGAAAAATTATAGGATCACACCTCAAAAGAAAGTTTCCCCTTTCTTTACATGGAGATGGATGCTGTGTAACAGAGCAGGTTTGTAACAGGGTAACATAACGAAATTGGTTTATCACGTTCATGAACTTTTGTCGACCTTGGATACCATCAGATGACTTGGTCAAGTTCCTAGGGACTCAAAAGAGACTCGGTTGATTCCCTTGGGAATTGGACAATACTTGGGTCGAGTCTCATGTGATTTTTGTTCCCACCAATATATTAGTGACTATTGGACTCAGGCTAGATCAAGCCCGTTACGATTTGGCTAATTTGCAGCCGATACACAGAACTTCTCCACAAAATTTTAAAATCAGCACCTCCTTGATGTTCCTGACAGTAAACTTGTCCATGAATTTTTGAGCATTAACAAGCTAAAGTTTTAATAAATTACAAGTACAATTATCAACCATGTCCTAAAAAAAAATTGCATATTCTTAATACAAACAGGGTAACTGGTCTGACTGGATTTGTATGCTAACAGCCCAAAGAAAAGGTGTTATACAGAAAAAAACAAGAAAAAATTAACATGCTATGATCAATTTCGAGTATCAAGATGCAATTTTTTGACGAGGTTGCTAATTTTCGATATACGTACCACACTTTCAGGAACTCCTGGAGGCGGCAAGGGAATATTTCTAGGCGGAGGTCCATAGAGATATGCTCTCTTGTCAAATCGCCACTTTCCAATTTTCCCATATGTCAGCTCACCCTAAACACCAAGCAACTCCAAATAGATAACCAAAGAACCAGCAATTATATAGGACACTGAGTATATTATCTCAAGCCTAGTCCAAAATAAAAATGAACAAGAAGATACACTGAGTATATTATCTTAAATCAAATGCAAATGAAACAAGATACAAACAAGTACATGGCCATACTTGGTATATAAGGTTCATAAATAAAGTAGAATGCAACGAAAAAAAAGAAAAAAGAAAAAAAAAAAGAGTTTACCTTCATGTTGTAATCACATCCATAAGTAAAATGGAGGATAAATTTTTTCTCAGTTGCGAAATCAAACGGGGGCTGAAAATATTATTGTAAAGATTCTTAAGAACAATTTATATGTGCATATATGAATATTAATTCAGCAATCAAAATCTTCTGAAATTCAACGAATCTACTGAGATAGAGAAGAGCTTGATAGTTCAGATGCAAAAACCTGTAGCATAAAGTCTTTCCGAAGAATATGCTGCACACCATGCAAAGCAGAAGCCACAGCATATCCATACCTAGTTCAAAGCAAGAAAACAGAAATGTCAAAAACATCATCAATATCTAGACCTGCAACTATCAGATGATATTCAAATTAAACAGGAATTTGTGTTTCTTAAAGTTCTGCCCACATTTCTAGCACCCATCCAAAAACTTTGTCAGTCTCTGGATCTTCTTTCATTCTCAATGAGACATTCATCCATGTTGGTGCAATCTTCTCCAGCAAATCCTGAATTAAACGATTTCAACCCAAATGTGAAGATATTTGACAGCCAACAAAACCGAGTTTAAAGATGCAGAAAAAATAACATCAGTAGAAGTTATAGACTTTACCTTCCTAATAATAACAGGAGAATTGCCAATTGGATCAATATTTGTTACAGGGCCATTCTCCTCAGGGAAATACTTCCTTATAACCTTTTGATTTTCAGCAGGCTTGATGTAGAAAAAGGGATAGCCAGCAGGATAACCACCATGTGACAAATTAGGCAGTGGGCTTAAAAATATGTGGTCGGGCTCTGCCATCAGTATGTATCTGTCCCAGTAATAGATGATACAAGCTTTAATATTTACTGCATCTAAAAAGTGACTCCATTTCTCATTGTTAAATTCATAGAAACTCACTCTTCCTCAATTGTAGCCTTTTCCAGCCATTGCACAAAGGCCCATGGTCTATTTAAAACAACATAACCCTGGATATAGCATTTTAAAACTATGTCATGAAAGAAAAACAATACAGTTGTCACGTCCATATATTTGATAAAAGACAGACAAAACTTTAAAATGGACACATTATGGCAAGGGGACAGGAAGGCCAGCAACAAGAAAGGTTTAAAACTTTGATGTCCAATTAAAATTTCAATTACTTGAGACAATATATATACTGTAGTCCACAGAAACTCAAAACCAAACCATGACAACAGATATATGGGATTATAAACTTCAAATTTGATAAGAAAATTTCCCTCTAGAAGTGGAAAACCATAGAAATACATGGAAAGTAAAAAATGACTGAAAATAGATGCCCTCACACAATGTTCATTAAAAAATGATTTGAAGATGTAAAGTATGCATAGCACGCCTCATTATTTATCCTGCACAATCAGTGTCTAAAGGAACCAGTAAAGCAAGATTGCACATATCTTTTAATTAATTTTAAATTCCATGAAACAATTTTCAAGATGTTTTAAAAAAAACTCCCTACCCACAAACCCAAAAAGATAAAAAAATAAAAAGGAAAAGGGGAAAAAGAAAAAGAAAAGGGAAGGGAAATATCTTCTCAAGTTTAATTTACCTTGTTTTTGGTTTATACATTGGACAGAAAAATCCCTATATCAAGTCCTGATAACCTAGTTTTGTTCCAAATTGGAAAATGTGTTCCAATACCTTTCTTCTTAAAGGTTCAATTTTGTTTCCACACACTGACACATGAATTCTTTTCAATTTTTCCCCATCAATACCTGAATTATATATTAGCCATATAACTTGGGATTCTTCAACCCCAAATCTAACTAAGGGCAGATTGGCAAAAGTTGTGGATAAAGGAAAAGCATGGCACAAGTCATGGAAAACACAAGCAATTGTTCATTATTATAAAAGCGTGCCACTTCATGAGGAGCTCACCAATGACTACTTATTTTAGAAAAAAAAAAGTTAGCACACAAAATCCAATAAAGAAGATGGCAGATACAAGAAAACGATCACTGAAGGTCTCTCACCCGATCCAGACCTGCTGGAAGAGGATCAACCACAAAAGTAGGAATCTCATCCATCAGGTTGTCAGGCTTTCCTGAATGCAGGATCCGAGTAAATCCTCCCATCTCTGATCCAGGCAAGTCCTTATTCTTCTTATACCAGTAGTACATGATACGACACTGCCATTTGCTATAAGGAGCATCAGTTGCTGTCAGGGCAACATGGAAGGGCAACTTGACATTCTTTGCTCTCCTTGCATTCTCAGGCATCTCGATAATGGGATCAATCAACAACCCACCCTTTGTATCATGACCGCCCAATTTCCTTGAACCAGCTGCTCTATTGTGATATATCATTGTTAGCACATTATATGTCACAAGGAAAAACCCAATAACCAAAAGAACCAGAAACAGTGGTGATGCCCGTCCCATGTTCTTCCTTCCAATCATAATTTGTCATAAATATAGAATCAACTGCCACTGAACTCAAAACAAATGAACACTTCTATGTGTAAGAGATGTTAAACCAAAACATATGAAACCTATTAAAATCCTCCACCTGATGAGTCCAAAACAAGACGTGGCAGCAGTTAGAAACACCGGAACATTGTATCATAACTTACAAACAGTATTTCAAGAGAAGGCAGGAAGAACTCATACTCTAGAAAGCAATCTGCATTTGGAACAAGACACAATGTCAACATGATGCAGATTAAATTTAGGCTTGAAAAAATCAAAGTAGATCAGAAAAAAAAGAAGAAGAAAAAAACAGAAATTAATAATCATGAAACATTATAGGGGTAAAAGATATCCAAAAGACTCACTAAACTTGCTATACTAACACCATACAGTCATCCAACTTTTAAATCCATAATACAATGTGGTTGCGCAATCAATTTTTCATTTTTTAAACATGAAGTAACTTCCATATAATTTTTCAAGAGAGAAACCATTTAATCGCAAGCTATAACAAACAACAAAAATAATATGAAAACAGAAGATCAACATCATCAAAATGAAGCTAAGGCACGATAACTCAACATGAAAGAAATTCTCAGGAGTAGAATAAAGGAAACCTCTCTAAATTCAGACCCAAAACAATCAAAAGGACTCATCAAATTGGTTAAACGCATCAAACCCATCACACTCCTCCAATTCACCAGTCCAAAAGCATAATCTATCAGCACTTATAGACCTCGTTTTCATATAACAGAACTTCCAACAAATTTTCAAGAGATACCCACAAGAATTTAAAGTCAAACAAGTAATTTGCAGGCATACAAGCAACTGAGATCAATGTTATGCAAATAAAATCAAGGCATACAACGTTCCCTATTAATCAAAATGCAATATATAAGTATTATATGTATATATATATACACACATATAACAACGAAAACCTCTCTTAATTCAGACCCGAAATATTAAAAAAGACTCATCAAATTCGTTAAACGCACAAAACCCTTTACACTCTTCCAATTCACCAGTCCGAAGCATAACGTAGCAGCAAATGTAGAAATCGTTATCATAGAGATACCCACAAGAATTTAAAGTCAAACAAGTCATTTTCAGCCATCTAAGCGACGAAACTAAGACGATGCAAATTAAATCAAGTCATGCAAGGTTCACTATAGATCAAAATGTTATAAAAAAAAAAAAAAAAAAAAAAAAAAAAAAAAAAAAAAACTATATATATAATTCATAAAACATATATTCAAAAGGAGGGCAAATGCTTCAATAATGCACACGGACATAAAAATCAATTCTGGGTTCCGTTGAAAAAAAAAAAAAAACAGAATTTGCATATCAAATTAGGAATTCATAATTTTAATCGTACCTAAAACGAAATGGGTGCCCAGAAAATTTTCTCTTCGCCCAGAAATTCAGTCAGATGAATATATATAGAGAGAGAGAGGGAGAGACGGAATTGAAAAGTTAGATCAGACAAAAAACAAAGTGTGTGAGACGTGACAGTGAAGAAAGTACTAAAAGTTAAAAGAGATGTAACAGAATCCAAGCAACAGATGTGGGTATTGAAATAGAAAAGAGGAAAAAGGAGATACGTACAATCTGAAATTTATGCACACACAGTCAGACGACTCACAGAGAGAGAGAGAGAGAGAGTAAACGGATAGCAAAGTCAGTGGGTCGGGTGGGTTCCAGACATGACCCGGATTCAATTAGGCCTAAACATGTTGCTCAGGCCCGTCTCTACATGGGCCTAGGTTTTATAGCCCAACAACAGAAGCCCAAATATATATATATAGATATAATTTTTTTTTTTAAAACCAAGACAGGCAAGAAAGATTTTATTGATAGAAAATTAATGGAAAATACAGTACAATCTTGATAAGCAAAATTTAAAACACCATTAGGAAAATTACAATCCCATAGTAACCTTATCAAAGTACTTTAGTTTGGAAAGTCGCTTTAATGGCGTGTAATTGATAAATTAATATTACATGATTCAGTGTCACTTAGTTGACATTCATGTAAAAATTTAAATAAAACCGACAATCACATAATTTACGATGATGCATTAATTTCTCTCACAAAAGAGTATCTTTTGTGATACTGATAATAAATAAATTGAAAGTTCCAAATCTTTTAGGTGGACATTAAATTTTGGTATTTTGTGTGGGTATGCTTGTGAGTGGAGATAACATTCACTAAAAAGGTATATTTGTGGAAATTGATTTCAGTATTGCATTTTCAAATGTTATACCTTTCAAAAGTAACAATTTCGTTAGGTAACGATTTTATTAGAAACTACACTAATGCCAACCACGCACATGGTATCCAAAACAAAGGATGGGATGAACAGAATTTTACCTCCAAAATTTTATTTTATTTTATTTTATTTTTCCTTTTCCGAAAAGGTTTAATATATATGTGTGTGTGTGTTGCCACTTAAACCTCATGCTCTTGTTCATTTAATCGAAAAGGAAAAAATTGGAAGAGTATATGACATCACGTGTGGTGTAACTTTGGGTCGACCAACCAAAATTTTTTACAGCAATTATTTTACTACTAAGTTAAGGTTGGATTTGAATTGAAAATTTTCTATCTGAATTTTATTTAAGTTGGACTTGAGGTAAGATATCGGTCAATTTAAATTCAATTCAAATGTAATTCAAAGAAGCTCTAATTGAATTATATATATATTTAATTTAATACTTACTTATAATAGGGATCAACCCAGGCACGGACCAGTTCAGCCCAGTGGGGGCATCATTGAACTTTTTCTAAATTGTATTATTATCTAGAGTTTTTGTTAAATTTTCAAAAATGTCCCCACTCAATTATTTAAAATGCCCCCTTCACATTTTTATCTCACATATTTCTCCAATAAAATTTTCTAATTTGTACAGTATTATTACTTAAAGTTTTAGTTAAAATTGCAAAAATACCCCCACTCGAAAAAAAAAAAAATTCTTCAATGGCGCCCCCTCAAAAAAATCCTTGGTTCGTCACTGGATCAACCTATTTATAAATTTATTTATTTTTTCTTAAGTCTTATCTCTTATATAATCATCCTTATAAATTTTAATTTCTTGAGAATAAAGTTATAAATTTTCACATATTTATATCAATTTTAGAATTCTTCATGCGCATGAGTAAACCAATCTAAGGTTGGTGTAAGGATCACTTGTGTCACTCTCATTTGCGACGACTATAAAAATTGTCGCAAAAGCTGAACGTAGCGTTCAACAGATTTTTTCCATCGCTAAAGGCTTCAAATGTTGTAGCATTTTTGCACAATTTTTATACAACGTGAAAATCTAGCACGATTATGGTTTTCTTTTTATACCATTAATGCACTCAATTTTACCATCATTGATTCCCATACACCCTTTACGCTAGTAGTTTTTTCTTTTTCATTTTTGTAATATAATAGCACTAGATAATAATAAACAAATACAAAGTACTTAATATATATATATATATATATGCACACTGATGATTATGTTTCGTAATCACCCTTTTCTTTGGAGTGAACTTAAAGTTAATTAAAATAAAATAAAAAAAAAAACACAAACAAAGTTGTTTAATTCTTCGATGAACAATTATACAAGTTGAACGCATGTGTTATCCTAAATTCTTTTACAAAAAAAAATTATACAAGTTTTTCTTTTCGGTTAATAAACTTTTAGACAATTAACAACCTTTACACTTGCCTATATTAATGGGCAAAGTGCATACACTTCCATTGACTATTCGGGTTGCAATAAACTCCTCGGACTAATTTTTTGTCAAAAAAACTCTCTCCAACTATTTAGGGGTAACATACTGGATGGGAGTGGATGTAACATAATTTTGAGATAAAAATGCCCTTATTCCTATTATATAGAACAAATTGCATTAAATCCTCCTCTATTTTGAATTTTTGGCAAGAAACTTACCTGAAGAAAAAAGTGCATATAAAACCCCATAGCTATCCAATTTGTTGCAAAGTGATGTTATAATGACTAAAGTGCCTCTTATTATAAATTTAATAAAATGGCGTTCCTTAATATTAAATTAAAATTAATACAAACTCATTTGGCATAGGGTCTATAAGAAAATTTCAAAATTTTCTTAAATTTTTATTTTTAAAAATAGAAAAGAAAAGAAAAGCTAAATAAAAAAATTTGAAAATTGTTTCAAGGTATTTTCATTTCAAATCATAAAAAGAAAAGAAAATATAAATAAAGGCATTTTTTTTTTTTTGTAAGAATAAAAATTTAAGAATATTTTAAAAATTGTTTCAAGGTATTTTCATTTTTTTTAATAAAAAAGAAAATAAAAGGCTAAAAAAATGTATTTTCTTTTTTTTATTTTTTAAAATAAAAATTTAAGAAAATTTTGAAAATTATTTCTTTTCTTATAGACTCGCCATTTAAAAAATAAATAATTTTTTTTTTTATAACAACACTATGCAAAATGAGTTTGTATCAATTTTAATTTAATATTAAGAAGCACCATTTTCTTAAATTTATATTAAGGGTCACGTTAGTTATTCTAACATCACTTTGCAACAAATTGGATACTTAAAGAGGGTTTTATGTAAACTTTTTTGTTCAAGGATGTTTCTTGCCAAAAATTCAAAGTAGAGGGAGGTCTTGTGCAATTTTCCATATATAATAGGAATAGGGGTATTTTCGTCTCAAAAATATTTTCCATCAACTATGTTACCCTTTACACATGCATATATTAATGTGCAAAGTACATTAAACTCCCCTCGATTATTTGCGTTTTGCAATAAACTCCCCTAGACTAATTTTTTGCCAAAAAATTTCCTCCAACTATTTAAGGGGTAACATAGTGGATGGGAGTGGATGTAAAATAATTTTGGGAAAAAAATACCCTTATTCCTATTATATAAAACAAGTTGCATTAAATCCCCCAGCCTCCACTTTGAATTTTTTGTAAGAAACTTACATGAAGAAAAAAGTACACATAAAACCCTCCTAACTATTAAATTTGTTGCAAAGTGATGTTATAATGACTAAAGTGTCTCTTATTATAAATTTAATAAAATGATGTTCCTTAATATTAAATTAAAATTAGTACAAACTCATTTGGCATAGTGTTGTTATAATTTTTTTTTTAAATGGTGGGTCTATAAGAAAATAAATTTACCTTGAAACAATTTTCAAAAATTTCTTAATTTTTTATTTTTAAAAATAAAAAGGAAAAGAAAAGTTAAATAAAAAAATTGAAAATTGTTTCAAGGTATTTTCATTTTAAATCACAAAAAGAAAAGAAAATATAAATAAACGTATTTTATTTTTTATTTTTAAATAAAGGTATTTTCTTTTTTATTTTTAGGAATAAAAATTTAAGAATATTTTTTAAATTGGTTCAAGGCATTTTCATATTTTTAAATAAAAAAGAAAAGAAAATCTAAAAAAAAGGTATTTTCTTTTTTATTTTTGAAAATGAAAATTTAAGAAATTTTTGAAAATTATTTTCATTTTCTTATAAACTCACCATTTAAAAAAAAAATATCAATTTTTTTATAACAACACTATGCAAAATGAGTTTGTATTAATTTTAATTTAATATTAAGGAGCACCATTTTACTAAATTTATATTAAAGGTCGCTTTAGTCATTATAACATCACTTTGCAACAAATTGGATACTTAATGGGGGTTTTATGTGAACTTTTTTGATCAAAGAGGTTTCTTGCCAAAAATTCAAAGTAGAGGGAGGTTTTGTGCAATTTTCCTTATATAATAGGAATAGGGGTATTTTCGTCTCAAAAATATTTTCCATCAACTATGTTACCCTTTGGATAGTTAGAAGGGTTTTTTTTTGACAAAAAAAATAATAATAATAAATAATAATAATCAAGGAGAATTTATTGCAAAACACAAATAATTGAGAGAATTTATTGCATTTTGCCCTGTATTAATTTAGCATAGTTAATATTTCTCTAGTGCTCACAAAAAGATATTGCCAATAGAAAGTTTCATTAAAATTAGAATTTTTTTAGAATCACTAATATCATCTTCTAAAAAGAAAACTATATATATATATATATATATATATATATATATATATATATATATATATATCAGACTACGAATTAATATGACATGCAAAGAGAAACATTACTAAACTACAAATATAATCATTTTCTTGGTGATGATGATGTTGGTAATTACCATGATTGTCATCATAATCTTGGTCATGACTGAGCTTAGATCTCTAAAATCACATGTATATATATATATAAACTCAAAGAAGAGACAAAACGAAGAAGTTATGAGAAGTAAAAAGACTTAACTGCCCTTGGGTCTACCAAATATGAGATTTTCGACTCTAGGGCACAATCATCTTCCAAAATTGTAATATGATTATGGCATTAATCTTAGGCATTATTATGCTTTTGCTATCACTATCCAAGACAATGCCGACAGTAACCCTCACAAATATTTTGATATGCAAACAATGAACACCCAAAACCACCAAACAATTGATGGATTGGCTAATTAATTATGCTAATCCAAGCTTTTTGATTGTCTAATTGAGCTTACGAGAGATGAATTTGTTGCTGGGTGTTTTTTCATGGATTTCTATTTCGGTACTGATATCGGGCATCATCAATAATGGAGGGAAGGGGACGAAAAATGAAAATTTGGTGGCAGAGAAGTTGAGGTTGACAGTGGTCGAAGTAGATGGCAGTGGAAATTATAGATCCGAGTTGAAATCTTTACGCTGCGTGAAGAGTCACACGTGTATGAACTGGAATTCGTTGAATGTGATACAACATATGTGTTCGAAATTTTCAGCTCAATAATGTTCACGGAATGTGAAAAAATATGGTAGACTATGCATTTCTTTTACATGGGCGCGCTGTTGTCGCCTGATACGACCATGTAGTGATTATTGTACTTGCATTGATTTTTGGAAAGGAGACAGTCCAATTCTGTAAACTTTGGAGTGCAGTGGAGAGTGGTTAGAAAAAGATTGCCATGGAGAGAGTTGAGAAAGAGGTTAAATATTGCAAATTGTATTTAACAATTGCCGACATTTTCAGCATGTTTAAAAGAGCAAAACTGAGATTATACATTTATTTTATGTCGCATGTTAAACATTACAATTTATTTATTTATTTATTGTCTTGACAAAGCTAAGGAAGGGTGTACTTTGTTATTTTATCAAAAAAAAAATAGGGGCTCAATCACACAACAATATAATTTTAGGACTTACCGTTACATTAGCATTATTACAGAGGTGTTTTATGCACTTAATCGAAAAAGAAAATAATCCATAGATTCATAAAAACAAGATTTTTATTTAGGTTATAGGAGGACTCTTCAAATATATGAGATTGAAGTAACTTGAGTACGGCTAGTAAAGTCTAATTTCAAACAATGAATTGAAAATCTTCAAATTAAGAAGAACAATACATATTAAAGATTCGATAAAAGTTTTAATCTGTCACTACACGGCCTTATATTTACAACACAAATGAGAGGGCGTTTATTTACAGAAATCTCCAAAATGATCTCAAATTTTGAGCCTCTACAAGTGATAAATAACATAACCACCTAAAATTGTTAAAACCTCAAACCAACCTAAAAGGCCCTTAGTGTGAGGATAATAAGAGACACATGGTCCAAACATATCTTTAATTGTAAGATTCGTAAAAAATTAAATGTACGTTATTTTATTTTTTGTGCCTAAGATGTTATTTTCTAATTCAAATATGTGATATCACGATGATGTATCTTTAAAAAAACAATATAGAGTATATATTACTTTCACCACCATTTCCTCTTTTTCTTTCAACCAAGAAGGAGACACTTAAAATTTGCATAAATTCAGGTTTTGTAATGGAGAGACAGAGTGGACAAGAAAAGGCAAGAGCCTATTTTTTCTCTGACAACAAACCACCCAATGGGAGACATCCCTTTTAACATGATACACATAAAACAAATGGGCAATCCAACATTTCATAAAGTGGTGGGTTTATGTATGATCCTATCATTTTACACGCCTTCTGTCCAAATTGACCACACAATAACTCTCTATGGCTGTTCAGGGCTAGCTATATACGCTATTGTGATGGACACACGTGTAGGGCAGTAGGGCACAAGTATGGGGAATTTATTTAAGAGCAGTCACTCTGTGTTTTCAGGTTAAAACAGAGTTGTTTTGACTGCTTTCATTTAATTTTATTATATTTTTTTTAAAATTAATTAATTTCATTTCCATGTCCACGATTATGAGAGAAACTATGAATTTGCCAAAAACATGTTCTAAATTACAACATGCACATAATTTTCAATATTTTGTAATACTTGTTATGGTGGAAGAAAGTTTTGTGAGAAAGACTAAACTTTTGGTAATGTAAAATATTTAATATTAAGTTATTAGCTGTGCAATTTTGTATTCCAAATTATATTCTCTCACGTAAGTAATATGGCACTTGAATTCTCGATAGTAAAATTTGGTGTTGCAATAATGACGTAGTGATTTTCAACACCATTATATCTGAATTTTTTAGTTAAATATAATATGTTGAAAAATAGATATAGTGTGTTGAAATACATATACGAATATGAATTTTGAAAAATAAATACTACTACAATAACGGATCGAGGCTCCGCATTATGAACTTTCAACTTGGTAGGACTAAACTTTTGATGGTAGTAGTATCACATTAAGTTGCTCTTGTATCATCATATTAATTGCTCTCTCACTCTCCTCAAATTTATTTTATTATCAAATCTTTTGGTTCCATAAACCTAATAGTATATCCCCTTTAGTTTATTTTTCAAGTTTCATCCATAACTCCAAAAGTACTTTCATCCTTAATTAGAAAAAAATGACCTCATTATCATAGGGCCATTGTCTTATAGTGTTATTTCTTTATCTGCCCAGTCCCCCCTTTAAAAAGAAAAAGAAAAAAAAGAAAAAAGTGTCAAAAAAAAAAAAAAAAAAAGAAAAAAAAGAAAAATTCATATCTCAAACCAACTAAGAAAAAATTGTGGTATCTGTACAAGATTACCTTTAATTTTAATTTTTTTTTCTTCTTAAACTCCAAAGTCCACCCTTTCCCAAGTTCCAACCAAAAAGTCAAAAGAACAAAAGAAAAGAATAAAGTACAATTGTTCACATAGAGCTGTGGGATCTTTTTCTTTTATTACTGCTATTTTTACATGACATTACAATACAAAATCAACAAGCCTAGATATGAATTAGATTTTGAAGGAGGCATATCAAACTGTAAATAATAGAAGAAAAAAAAGACACACAAATGGTGGTGAAATGCAAGTTTAAAATATTATAGGGGGTTAGGTAAAAGAAAAAGGACAAAAGGGAGTGTTAAGGCAAATAATAATAAATCTTGTAATCTGAAATATAATACTAAAATTAGTTGTATTTGAGGTATTTGGTCTGATTGAGACACCAAAAATGGCAAACACGTCATTCACATCACCACCACCATTCCTCTCATCCTTCCAACTGTTCGGTCTGTTATTAATTTCAGGAGCCAAACACGGAATCAAAGAACAATGTGTTGTTGTTGAATCTCTGGTTCATACCAACTCAGAAAAAAAAAAAAAAAAAAAAGGGCAAAGAAAAAAAAGAGAAGCAAAAAAAGAGGAAAAATACCCTCTACCCAAGAAAAAAAGCCAGTCATTTCTTCCATTCTTCCTTTTGCTTTCCCATCAATCAAACACCTTTCAAAATTATTATATTTTTTGTTAACAGACATTCGGGAAAGCACAAAAAACAGACACCCATTTCAGCAAATCAACAAAAGAACACAAGAAAGGGATAAAACAGAGCCATATTTTTGTTGTTGGTGGTTTTGGGTTTTTGTGTTTTTGGTTCAACAATCCAATATTTCTGGTGGGTCTTTTGGGTTCATTGTAAAAATGGTTTTTGATTTGGTTTTCAAGGTCACATTGATGATACAGAGAGAACATGATCTGGGTTAAGAAACAGAATGCCATAGAGATACAGGAAGGGAGAGGGAGGTAGTATAGAGAGAGAAAGAGGGGGGTTTAGAGAGAGAATGAGCAGAGAATCTGGCGGCATTGTGAAGGCCTGGGAAATAGCGGTACGCAAATCATACGCAGCTCCAAAGAAAAGGGCAAACAGCATTTTCGCAACAATGTCTGTAGCCCACGCCGACGACGACGACACCGGTGCTGGCCCCGGCGAGGTCACTCATGTTGAGAGGATCTTCTCCAATGGAGACTACTATGCAGGCCAGTGGGCAGATAACCTACCACATGGCCATGGAAAGTACCTTTGGCCAGATGGGTGTATGTATGTTGGTGATTGGTTCAGAGGCACTGCCATGGGAAAGGGTAGGTTTAGTTGGCCCTCTGGAGCCACCTATGAGGGCCAATTCAAGACTGGGTATATGGATGGTGAAGGGACTTACACAGGTTGTTCAAATGATACATATAAAGGTGCTTGGTTGATGAATTTGAAACATGGAAAGGGGACTAAGCATTATACTAATGGAGACTTCTATGATGGAGATTGGCACCGCGGGTTGCAGGAGGGGCAAGGCCGGTACCAATGGACGAACGGGAACCATTACGTTGGGCATTGGAAGAATGGGAAGATGAATGGCCATGGTACAATGGTTTGGTCTAATGGGAATCGATATGATGGGTGTTGGGAGAATGGATTGCCCAAAGGAAATGGCACATTTAGGTTAGAAGATGGGGGTTTTTACGTGGGTGTGTGGAGTAAGGACCCCCAAGAGCAGAGTGGGACTTTTTACCCTTCAGGGTCACCAATTGGTAACATTGATTGGGATCCTCAAGAAGTGTTTTCGGTTCATTTGAATGATTGCAACATTTGTACCGGCGAGAAGATATCAATATTTCCTTCGCAAAAGATGCTTAATTCCGGGATTGAGGGGGAATTCTGGCAGAAGAAGCCAATGTGGAGCTCTTTAAAATTGAATGATGGGAGGCCTAAAAGAATGTCAGTGGATGGGAGGCTGAGCGATGGGAGGCTGAGCAATGGAGGTGGTGGGTATAGTTGGAGCTCTGATACTGAATTTGGTTGTGACACCGTTGATAGATATTCGACGGGTGGGAGAGAGGTGGAAGAAGGTTCGGGGAATTTCCAACTTGATGATTCAGATAGGAGCTGGCATCAGCCGATTAGAATACAGCCGATGAAGAGACAGGGGACAACAATAGCTAAGGGGCATAAAAATTACGAGCTTATGCTTAATCTGCAGCTTGGAATAAGGTACTGACGAGTTACAGCTAGTTTTCCTTTCCTTTCAATCTCACCATGTTGTTATATTCAAACTTTTATGATTGGTGTGGTGTTGAGTTTCATCCATTCTGTGGGATTTATCGTTCTAATCTCATATAAATGGTATATGAATGATGGTTGAGATGTTAATTGTAAGAGCTCAAATTAAAGAAAAAATTGTGTTATTTACCTATCATATATAATGCCCTTTCTTCTAATGAGTACCATGGTTTAGAAAGCTCTTGAGATTTAGTAAAAAAGGTCATTACCCAGTGTCGTTGCAGCATACAGCATACATGGGGTGCTGGTGAGTGAATAAATATCTAAATATTGAAATTATTATGCACAAAGTGGTTAGTCTCGTAATCTCGTGTATTTATGCATGCTTAGAAATTAACTTTCTATCAGTTGGGATAAATGAAATCAGTTTTGAAGCTTATGAAGAAATTGGTGTATACATTTCATGTTAAGATGATTATCATGTTCTTTTCTGCAGAAACTACCTCTAAAACCAAATGGTTAGACATTCCATTTTGATCATTGTCTTTTGTTTCTAAAGGTCTATCAAGCACTTCTGTTGGTTTAAACCATCCCACTTGGCCATCATGTCCATTCACATCATTTGTGTTTCCCCTATCCTCCATCTATCAAAAGGTTTCTTTCTACTTCCCACTCATAACTTTTTGAAAGGTCTCTCTCCAACACAATATGTTGATGAAATGTAGAGTTACAAATCAAAGATTGGGAGACATGGTACGCCTCTTAGTAAAGGTGAATATGAAGTGTGAGGAAAAATATTGATGCGTATAACCTTTTACTGATTATTGGAAAATTAAGGTGTGAAAGGGGGGTCGTTGAAGTAACAATTTTAAAAGTGATTTGAAACAGGTTCTGACTTCTGACAAAAACAAGCTATATGGTGCGTGTTTAATGGAAAAGTTTATTTATATATATATTTTTTTCTATTTTCTGGACTGGGTGATAAGTAATATTATCAACGCTATAATTATAATAATTATTATTTTTTCACCATGAATGATTCTATGTTTCTAAAACGTGTTATTAGATCTCTATCTATAATTGTAAGTTTCGTCTTGTGATTCATTTCTAGTGTCACTGCACAGACATTCGGTTGGAAGGCCTGCCCCAACTACATCCCTTGATTTGAAGGCTTCAGCTTTTGATCCCAGGGAAAAAGTGTGGACCAAATTTCCTCCAGAAGGATCCAAGCATACTCCACCTCACCAATCGATTGATTTTAAATGGAAAGATTACTGCCCATTGGTTTTCAGGTCAGGCCTCAGACATTTTTCATTTGCAATGGATTATCCCTCTTTCATAAATTAACAATCAGAATTTCAATATTGGTTCTGTTTGGCATTGTGTGCCCATATGTGCATTTCTCTCTAAATGTATGAAGCACCTGTATCAGACAAACGAAACCTGGTTATGGATGTAGGATATGTGTCATACATGTTTGGTTGGACGTACACTTGGAAAGAATGTCCAATAATTCAAGTTAAACCTATAATCAAGTCCCCATAGGGATAATGTGGGAGTGGGTTTCTTGCCGCGATTTAAAAAAAAAAAAGGTCTCTTATTTATTGTTTTTTTTATATTATTGTGTCCCCAATAATATTTAAAATTGGAATATTAGTTGTGTCCCCATGTCACTGGAGATGGGTATTTGATATGATTAAATACATATCCACCCCCTGGAAATGTATTTGAATCCATGTAACATAGTTTCTCATTAAGGCGATCATGGTACTTTTAGGAAGTAGAGCCTGGGAAACGGTAGAAGTTAACGAAAACGTGGTCTTTGGGGGCACAAGTAGATTGATATTTCGCTCGTAGCAAATACTATGATATTTGAAGTCAAATTGAATGAGTACCTTTGCATAAATGAGTGTAGACGTTTCCCCTGGACATGCTTCATTCATCTCACAAACTGCATAATTTTATTCCTATATTTAAAGCATAATTTAAATAAAAGAGACCTCATGGTTCACTATATATATTTTCAGGACTTTAAGGAAATTGTTCAAGGTGGATCCTGCTGATTATATGATATCAATATGTGGGAATGATGCCCTTCGGGAGCTCTCATCTCCTGGAAAAAGTGGAAGCTTCTTTTATTTGACCAATGACGACAAGTACATGATAAAGACCATGAAGAAGGCAGAAGTTAAAGTGAGTTCATTTTTGTGCTTGCATGCATCTGACTTTGAGATTAACTACTGAGTTTCAAATTCAACTCAATTTCTTCTCAAATCCTATTATAAGCACTGGCAACATAATCTTCTAAATGGTTCTAACTTCCAGAATTATGCCTGATATTTTTGTTCCATAATCTGAATTTACTAAATTTCCCTAAAACCTGGTATTCATTCCATGACCAATTCACAAAATTTGATTACAATTCCTAAATTAATTACTAAATTACAATTTCTAAATTAATTGCCAAGTTTATGTGTTTTTGCAGAAGATAGTATGAATGGCAATGTAAACTTTTTCAGAAACATTCATTCTCAGTTTCTCAACTCAACAAAATCTTTTCCCAACTATTTTGGGCATTCTCATTTTCTCACAATTGAAATTTATTTCTAAACCCTTTTTCAAAATAGTTGCCAAAGTTAATTTGGTTTTCCTTTCATGAGATTTTCACAAGTAATTGCAGAGTGCTGAATATGAAGCCTTATAACACTCCAAGTCTGATTGATCTACACCACTACAGGTTCTAATAAGGATGCTCCCAGCCTATTATAATCACGTTCGTGCCTTTGAGAACACTCTCGTGACCAAATTTTATGGTCTTCACTGTGTGAGGTTAACTGGTAGTAACCAAAAGAAGGTAAAGTTGAAAATAAAAAAACTCCAATTTTGAATATCAAGATATGTATGAATCTCCATGGTGAAGTCAGCAACTTTACTCTGAATTCTTGTTTTTGGATATCCAGGTGCGATTTGTTATAATGGGGAATCTGTTCTGTACTGAGTATCCTATTCACAGACGTTTCGACTTGAAAGGTTCTTCTCATGGTCGTGTAACCGATAAACCTGAGTCCGAAATTGATGCCACAACCACCCTTAAGGACCTTGATCTCAATTTCATTTTCCGATTGCAGAAAATTTGGTTCCAAGAGTTGTGCAGGTGAACTTCCTTTTTAATTACTTTGTCATGTATATATTGTAAATATGTATACTTTCCTTGAACAGTGGGAGCTAAATCACTCCTAACTTCTGGCAACTAGCAAGAAACTGGGAGACATCCAGAAGAGTGATAGGGCTTTATAACCCACCCTTTTGCAAGTAGTAAGAAAGTAGGATACTCCAAAGAAGAGTGTGACAGCATTAGAGCTTCCTGCTCTTGTTCCCATATTCCTGGAAATTTCACAGGAACAAATATTCTGCGTCTCATCACTCACATACTAGTGATTTAGATAGACCTATGCTCAGTCGCTGACCTTGCGACTCAATTTCAACAAAGCGTTAGTTCATGAATAACTTGCATTATATTGCATCAACTTCTTAATTCTTGAATTGCTCTTATGTAGCAAGCATTGTTGTGTCAGAAGCACAAAAAGGCAATTTTGCTCTGACAAGAGTGTATAAATTGCCCGAACAGTTTAAAGAAAAATATTACTCAATGATAGGAAGAAGCTAGAAAAGGTTCCAAAAGCTTAATTACATAGGATGCCTTCAATTTGACAATGACAGAGACTACTTTATAATTAAAAGTATCAGGAACTGAAAGAAAGAAAGTGAGAGAAAAGTTACACCATGGTTCTTGCTATAGGAGGAAAATTGGTTGAGTAAGGTTGGCAGAGGCAGATAAATGCTTATAATTTTGGTGAAGTCACATTTTGAAGAAAACCCATACTTTGAAGGGGTGTAATGTTGGTTGTGTAAAGCAGACCCTTTTGAAGTTCTTATTTAGTCATGTAACTCTCCATATCTTATATGTGTGTGTATATATATATATATATGCAAATTTGTGTTTATGCACACAAGAATTACATGTGTTCTCATATCCACTCATTGACCGAATCAATTGTACACTTAAAAGTTTAAAATAGGGATGCTTTTGAAGAATGCCAATTGCTTCTATATACAATTTTTTTTGTGTAAATGTAAGTGTTACCTTCATGCAGGCAAGTGGATAGGGATTGTGATTTTCTTGAACAGGAGAGAATTATGGACTACAGTCTTTTAGTTGGTCTTCACTTTCGAGAAACTTCATTCGGTACAGAATCCTTCAACAGTGAGGGTCGTACTTCAGGAGTTCGCACTCCTACAGGTTTTTGTCTATCCTTTCCATAATTCTTATACCGTTCATATAGAAAATTTGTTGCTGACAGCTCTATTTGATTTCCAAAACTTGCAGCAAACAGAGACCTTGACAGTGAAGGATCTGCCCCCCGACTTTCAAGAGCAGACATGGATCAGTTTCTCATTGATCCTGACCGGTAAACAAATTTGTGAACCCTTGTGATAACAGAACTTTTGAACAAGTCCCAAACTACAAAACCATTAAAATGGTTAATGTAATTCTTAAATTATTGAGAAATTCTATAACGACAAATTGATCATCTTCCCCCCATGACATGCATTACCTAAACTGAAACCTATTCTTTATTTTTTATCTTTCCTTTTTTTTTTTTTTTGGGGTTAACTAGTTTTGAAACTCTCAAAACTTGTCAATGGCACTTGTTTCCCCCATTGTGATACTTTCTTAATTAGTTCCTAAAGAGTAAATACTTTACTACTATCAGGCTCGATAGCACCAAATCTCAAATCCATCTCCAATTTTGTGAAACTACTCGATGATCATTTCTAATCTCAGTAAGCAACACAATGACTTTATTTTCCCACTACTTACAAAATGTGTTTTGCAGGTGGGCATCCATTAAATTAGGTGTGAACATGCCAGCACGGGCGGAACAAACAATCAGAAGACCTGATTGCGAGTGTCAGCTAGTTGGAGAACCAACGGGAGAGTTTTACGATGTCATCCTTGTCTTTGGTATAATAGATATACTACAAGATTATGATATTAGCAAGAAGCTTGAGCACGCGTATAAATCAATACAATATGACCCTACTTCAATCTCTGCCGTGGACCCAAAGCAATATTCGAGACGTTTTAGAGATTTCCTCTTCAAAATTTTCACAGATGACAGTTGAAGTTACAGACTGAGTCATATCTTCCCCTTCCAACTGGTAGGCTTCCATGTATAGCCGATCATCAGTGGAAATGACAGTGCTTACCAGCAAAAGATGTGACCTCTTACATTGCCTGGGGGAAGAAGTTGCTGAGACTTATATGTGTGGACGTCACAAAAGATGACCATTTCAGCCAGCTGGCGTGGCCATTGGAGATTAATTATGGCTGCCAGGAAAACGCGTTTTGAGCAATTTGGCATCTTGATATTTTCCCATTGTCACAGTCCCATTTTATTTATAGTTACAGGAATGTTTTAGTACAGGTATAGTTAAACATCAAAGTGGAGATACTCAGGTCTGTTCCAATTGTAAATGAAGGATGAATATGGGTGAACCTGAGTCGGAATTCTTTTGTACCCAATTTTTTTTTGTCCCAGAAGGTTAAGAGTCTCTGGGATTTTGACCCTCAATAAAAATGTACAGAAGGAAATGAATTGGGAATGAAAATCCTTAAAAGATCAATACAAAGAATCTCCCGTTTCCTTTTGATGCTATTTTGTTCTACATTCAAAAACAATTTTCTGTTTCTTCAATCTATGAGTTTATTTGTGTCCTGAACTCTATATCATGTATGTTATCTCCTTCTTTTGATGCTATCTTGTTGGATTCAGAGGGTTGAGCCTTACACAACAATAAGATTGTTCCATTGTGACTTGGAGGTTGTGGATTCGAAACAAAGAAACAACCTCTAAGAGGTAAGACTTTGATCCTCCCAAAACCCCGCTGCCGTTGTGGGAGCCTTGTAGAATCGTGCGGTGCACTTGGTCTGACCTTTACCTTTTTTGTTGTTGTTGGATTCAAAGAGGTGTTTGTGTGTTCTAATGGAAATTGTACAATGGTGTATTTCTTTGATGGAAATGCAGAGTTTCATGTCCTAGGTACAACTTCTATAAATGTGATGATATTCATTATATACTAATAGATCAAAATTTTGGTGCTCGTTGTGGATTGAGTTTGATAATTTGTGGAATGAGTGGGTTACACGTTTAATTGGCATACGCGTATAGCTACAACTTAAGAATTCAAGTCCTATGTCAAAAGGCATCAATTCTGCAACCAAGGTCGGTTCTATTTGAATTATATATGTGATGTCTCGCATTGCTAAGGGACGAAGTAGTTGGCTAAGAGAGTGCCTCCTAAGTCTTACATAGAAGCATTTTGAAAATCGTGAAACTAGCGAAGTTGAATCTCAAAAGGTAGTGATCACTTACGATAGGGGAAGTCTCCATCCTGTATAGATGCAAAGCAGACAATATCCTCACAACGTAGTAAGGGTCGTGACAATATATATATATATATATACACGTGTATATGGAGAGAGAGTATGCAAGTTTTGTTGGATCAATCATGTACCACCTCGCACTCTTAAACTCTAAATTATATTCCCCGCTCATGAGAGTGTCAAGTATCTAATTAACACACAGTCACACACACTTAGAAAACTTTATGGCTCCAACATATGATGCTAATTCTGAATTTAACCACTTATGACATTGATTATGATTGTAAACATGAAAGATTTTAGCACCTGAAATTTGTGGTGTACACACCACCTGTTGACCAGTTCATGAAACCTTCGATGTCCATATGGTCCATGATAGAACACCTCCAGTGGATTCTCTGGTTGCAAACCCACAGCCATGTAGGGGACAAATATCATAGTTTTCTAGATCAGTGGCATATTGCAGACATGTTGTCCCAAATAAAGGTACCTATATCCCACCATTTATGGATTGAGATATTGGTTGTCTAGGGTAGGTGGGACATGTCACAGGGAAGTGCAATATTGGGTAGATTCAGATTCTACCTGGTTGGAACTAAGTCGAGGTTGGACACAAAGTAGTATTATTGTATCATGAGATGACAAGTTCCTAACCCATGGATCATCTCCTCCTCCTCACCAACTCTATGCACATCAAAAGCACAACACACCACATGTAACACTCGTATAACACATTTAAATATCAAAGACGTAACACCATGCAATCCTCATCCTATTGACATAATATTGTTGGCTTTAGGCTCTCCTGGACCAGACTTCTTAGGAGGTCACCCAATCTTGTTACTTCTCCTGCATAAGCACGCGTAACTGCGGAATTATAATGGGTTCATGGCCATCAACGACAACATTGAGCCCCAAGGGAGGGTGATTTTGACGATCTCTATGGGCGGACTGGGCGAGCTACCACGCTGGCAGACTATGGGTGTCATGTTCTCACATTTCCCGGGGAAGGTGAAGTACTATATGTAGGTTCAACACCCCTTTTATGACAGCGCGTTTTAAAGTCGTAATGGTCGTGAACACATCAGAACTCCGGAGTTAAGTGTGCTTATGCAGGAGTAGTACCGGGATGGACAATATTGTGTCGGGTAGGGTGAGGGCTATTACAATACTGCAATACTATTACATCGAGATTTCAACATCTTTACGTTATCAATTTAAAATTGTTACGTTGTTGATTTAAACTCACAAGACGACAAATACCTAATTTTGCATAGGAGAGGATCCTGATACAACCATAAATGAGACAAAACATGTATAAGAAAAATAAATTACTTAATACAGAAGATGTTTACATGTGACTGAACTCCAAAAAATACGGGATGCAGCATTTGGGTGTAAGCTAATTCTATATGTTAAGGACTTAAAACTCATCCTTGCAATGACCTGATAAAATTTTTACCCTTTCTTTTCGGGTTTCTTAGACTTGATCAGCTAAACTAGCAAGCCAAGTTCTATTATTACTATGCACATTTATTTCAAGAATCAGTCTGAATGCAAACTTGCTGTCAGAAAATTTTCTCTGTTTGCGTCAAAAAAAGTCCAATTTCAACTTCTGAAGTAATTCTGGGAAGAGTATGGTCCAACAAATTCATTTCGATTCTAACTTGTTTTAGTTCTCACATTGTCTTGTCAAGGTAAGGTGTGTGTATTCAGTACATTTATTCTGGTATTAATATTGCGCAAGTAACTCTCAATTCTTAAATATAGTCTGCTCCAAGCTGAGTAGAGAATTGACTTTAATCCACCAATCCCATGTTAAATCATGTTCCATATACAGAAACCTTACTAGAAGGACTAACCCAAATAGCTGATGCATTCTGAACATGTCTATAAAATGTTCTTCCAAAGACCATTTGATCCCTTCATATTCATTTATGCCTACTCACCAAATAAAACTGGTTTTTGGTGCGTGTGCGTGTGCGTGCACACTTTAGGTGATCAACCACTAATGGTGAAAAGTAAATTTAATTTAGAATCGGAGTATTGAGATGTTTCTTGACTATAAGAAACTTTGTTAGACATGCTCAGTTAGAAGAACAAGAAAATGTTCAGAATATTCCCTCCAACAAACTACATAAAAATGCAGCACTAACTTTAGAACTGCAGATAATATAGGATAAATGATTTTAATTTTTCTGGGAAAAGTTTAAACCCTCTATTATATTTGCAGTGAACTATCAATCAATAAGCTTGATTTCAACTCAGTCCTACAATAGTAAGAAGGTAATTGTGAAGCCCACCAATGACGAGAAGCAGATCTCATCAATGTGTCTTTAATGCAAGAATCTACCACCGATTTGGTTGTTGATTAAGAAAACCATCTTGTTGGTTTGCTGTGAAAGTGGTATTTCTTCATGGTATTCTTTCAGGAGGATTTTAAGAAGTTGCAGAGCTGGATACCAACTATAATCAAGTCCTATAAAGATAATGAAATTTGGCATGTACTTTTGGGTTATATGCCATCACTTTTGCATGTTAAATTTTGGCCTCATATTTCAATCATTTGGCCAGTGTCTACTGCACATATTTGGCATTAACTTTTACCAACTTTGGCCAATATTTCCAACAAGATCAAATCTTGGAGGAAACCACATCCACCTCCTTCCACACGCAACAATTCAAAAGCACCTAACCTCGCAGAACCAAATTTCACTTGTCTAAATATTTCGAAGTGCCACCATTGGCGAAAAAGCCACATTGGTAGGCAGTGTTACCTTCAAACTTTCCATTCTTTAAGGCTCTCCAAAACAACACCTTCAAACCCTCGCCCAAACACCAATGTTCAGGCTGAAATCTCACTATGTACATCACCCGTCGGAAATCTTAACATATTTGCAGGATCCACTCGTCCATTCCACCATTGGTACTTCCAAATTCTCACCGATGGACTATATGGTTACGAAGTATTAAAGCAGATGATTTTTAAGGCAATCAACTTAATGAACAAAAATTATGATCATTATTGATGTTCCCATAAAAGCTATCAACTTCTCTTGTGCAACAAACAAGTGTCCATAAAAAAACCAAAGATGGCAGCTTTCATGTTACGAATAACAGTAGATGAATGAACCACAATGATAAGCTCCCCCAAGGCATTCTGAAAAGGCCAAACTCTCTGCTTTAAATTGCATCTCAAGTACCAAGTGCCTACTGCCTAGAGTATTGAAAACAACATTCCCAAGGTTTCTCTAACGTGGGCCTATTTCAACTTGCTCCGGATTACACGGGAAGTTCCCATTGAAGTTCAATTTTACTTCATTGGCCAAAGAGATACATAATGGCTCCATCTTATGATCTAAATAAAGATAAATTAAAAACTAATCTCCGAGATTCAGCAACGATGGAGCAACAATAAATTCTAGTCATGGCAGTTCACAACAAAGTCGAGAAATAACAAAATCTGAATATTTGGACATTTGATCACAATTCATATTCATTCTATTCAAACAATGCAAATAATCTGTTTTATGGCTATAAAATATAAAAAACCCACAAAGATTTCCCCTTTCTACTCCACTATAACTGTAGATCAAATTTTCCATTAAGGAAAAAATTGAAGGAAGAACAACCTTACTCGAATCAAAAGCATTGAAGAAACTGCAAAATAGGACCAGATAGTCAATAGACATGGCCAAAGCATAATAACACCATACAAAACCTCAAATATTCACAGGTGGTAGAGTTACAAGTAGCTACAAACATAGCTAATAGCAAGGACAAGTACTAGAATTATAGCAAAAAATACTCAGAATATCAAGGATGTGAAACTGTTGAATTGACAAAGTAAGTGTACAGCATCAAAATACATCTAATCACACAGACTTACAAAAAGAAAAGAAAATAAAAGAAAAGAAAATAAAAGAAAAGAAGAAGAAAAATTGGGGCACGCGACCATTATCCTGGATCAATTATTAGTATTGACAGCTGCCCCGTGTTGCACTTTCAGCCCAGTCGGATCTAACACTTCCTATCAAGTACTCAAGGAGTGTAATATGTCAAAAAATCAGCTAGCCCACTATTGCCAACTTGAAGTGCTGTCCATGAGTTCTAGTTTGAGCATTCTTCTTTACTTTTGGTCAAACTAAATATCCTCTGCTAAGACTCCATTTCTGTGTTTTCCACTGATAAACCCCCTTTCATTGATTCTAGAGACGGCGCCTTTTTCTTAAATCTGTATACTACCTGTTCTATGGAACTTCAAAAACTATTTACAAAGAATCCTCTGCCACTTCAGTCGTGTCCTCATCCACACAATCCAAGTCCAACTTCATATTCACATTTCCATGATCGACAGACTGGTTCCTCAGCCTCCTACTTTTTAAAATAACCTGGGATTCTTTGATAAGACTAATGTATTTCTTCCTCACCTTCGTGAGAGGATGGGCTTCGATAGCAGACTTATCACAGTAAGCTTCTTTTAGTATGGCAGTACAAGTTTTATTCATCAAAGACAAGTAAAACATGAAAGGATGCCTCTCAAATGCCTTGTGGACTTTCTGCGGCAAACCCAAATACTTCCGGAGGCACAAAAACTTCTTCCTCTCAGCAGCATGCTCAACAAAGAGACTGAGCAACTCATGAAGAACACCCACAACCCGTTTCTCCGCGATATCACTATCCCGATTAAAATCCAAGTTATCCTCATATGGTGAAACATATGGAACCTTTTGAAATTCATCCAACCAATCTGAAATCTTTCTCTTCAACCTCAAACCCTTTGAGGGAAAAAACGGAAATGCAATAGCCTCCATTGGTTCCCCACTATATCCCCCTCTCTTCATCACATTTTTCTGCATTACAGACAAAACCCTTTCATCACTCTCAACAGCCAAACCCTTCAACCCATCTTCCACCTCCACAACTCTGAAACACCCATCAAGATTCGCCTCCGGGTCTCGCAAAAATTCATCCGGCAAACCCAAATACCACTGCATTCCCTGAATTATCTTCATTGGCAACCTTTTCTCGACACTCATCAGTATCAACTTCTTCAACCTCGCTTGAAGATCAACCTTACAATGCCTATAAACCTCACACTCTGCTCTATCGAGCTCCACAGCTTCTGGGGTGAGCCTAAACCATGGAAGATTGTATTGGGGTCCAGTGAACTCCTCAAAAACAGATGGGTATTGTCTAAGAAACCTAGCAACATTAATGGGTACCCCTAATTCGTAACCTCGCTTCGACACGGCGGAGATCGGAATACAACCGTCGTGTGCGGCGGTGATACAGTTTTTGAGAGCGATTATGGGCTTGAGTTCGATGGATTTGTGGACGGACTCGATTGAATCAAAGTAGCGTTCTTTCTTCAATTTCATGTACACATCTACATAGTTGTGCTTCTGGGTGTATATATAAGCAGGTGGGTGTTTGTATAGGAGGGAAACGATTGATGATTGAGAAGCGAAGAAGAGTAGGGTATTCAGATTTCTAGGGTTTGTTTGATTGAAGAACATTGTGTAGGGCTGGTTATTTTGGTAACGGTTATTAGGGTTTATGGTGTTTGTCAGGTGGGGTTTAAATTCTGTTAGGCCCTGTTTGGATGGCAGTAATCATGGATAGGATTCGGTTTTATTCGCGGTTGTAAATCTATATTCAACTTTTGGTTACGGTCAGAAATATTGTCCACGAACGAATCAAGATCTTCTATACGCTGGATAATCAAAAGAACTTTAAATCGAAGTTAGCAATATAAGATTTAACACTATACAACATAAATCTTCACTTATACATACAGTATTTACTTTGAAATTGAAACATTCATGCAATATATTTACATTATAATACATGGTTTGCTAACAACAGTTTTGATTGTGCAGATTGAATTGTGAAATTATAAAATTAATCTTATTATTTAATATTAAAATAAAATTGTGATAATTATAAAATTGTGATAATTATTATTTAAAATTATAAATTGTGAAATTATAAAATTAATCTTATTATTTAATATTAAAATAAAATTGTGATAATTATTATTTAAAATTATAAATTTAACCTTTGTCGGTCTCTTCCAATTGGAAGCAAATACAAATTAAGAACATATTGAATTTCAACTAGAATTAAGAAGTTAAATTTGTAATTTAAAAATAACAATTATCAACATTTTAATTTAATATTAAATAGGATGAATAGTACAACTCAATTAAAAGTAATGTGATAAGTTTGGTGGTTAATTTTAGGGTTATTTAATTTTGTTGGTTATATGTACATTTTAAGTAGTATATGAAATTTTATTTATTTATTTATTTTTACTAACTTCCAACCGTCTACTTTTGATTTATTCAACACAATTAAAAATAATAATAATAAAACAAACAAAACAAATTAATTGAAAATGAATTCCGGGAGTGATCAAACAATTCTCTCCCCCATTGCAGAGTTCTTTTATCGATTTTAGTTTTCTCCAATATTTCCTTAAAACAACAAAGTAACCAGAAGCACACTTTCATTTAAATGAAGTGTCATGCACATCTGTAAATTAATTATATGCCCACCTAATTTAATTTATTACTGATGTTCATTCAAATGAAATGCTATATGTATTCATAAAAATACTATTGTGACTACTAGTATCATGAAAAAAATGCTCATTTGAACATAGTTGAAAATATTATATTCCACAATTATTTTTACATAAGAAAAAATCATGAAGAGTGATATGTACTTGAATCTCATTTCAAGTTACAGATGTCTCAAAATAAGAATAAAATAAAATAGAAGACTAACGTGTTGTTACACTGCAAAACCATCAAATTAGATATTACAATATATTTTCATTGTTGCATCTTCAATTTAATTCCTCCATTTATTTGTACAAAAAAGTGCAGTGCACAAATAATAAACATATTTTGTAATTCAAATTTGTTAACTATAAAATTGTTCAAAGAGATTTTACTCAAAAATTGTTTAATTTTGTTACTTCAAGGTAGATATCGTACCCACTAGAACAAAAGCAAATATTAACAGTATAAGAAACTTATCGGTACAAACTTAGCCTCCATTTGGGGAGGTTAGGAGTTTTGAAGTTTGACCTTCAAACATGGAGGCATATGCGTGTGATTTTTTGATTTTTTTCTACTATCAAAAATAAAAAATAAAAAAAAAGGAAAGAAAAAGAAAATATAAGAACAAAAACAAACTTAGCAAAATGTAAATTAGAATTCCTTCAAATTCGATTTTGATAATTTTAAAATTACAAAGCTTGGACACATAAACATTCGAGTGTCAAAATATATATCAACCATCATCTCTCCTTATATTCCTGAATGGCATTAAGCTTGAAATTAAAGCCAGATGGGATTTTTTTTTTTTTTAGAATATTTTAGTCATTGGTGTACCCAATCCTCTAGCTAATGCAACAATTATTTAAAGCAATCAACAATTACATAAATCACACCAAAAAAAAAAAAAAAAAAAAAAAAAAAAAAAAAAAAAAAAACCACGTCTATTACAACAATTGCCCGAAGATAGCTTGTAGATAATATAAGCACTTCTATTTCAGCTCAGCATTTCTAACTTTTTCCTTCTATATATAATTCACCGAGCCTTTGGCCTCTTGGTAGAGTCTATTTTCTGTACAGAAGCTTCTGCCATCTTTCCTTCCGAAATCATGCAATTTTCAGGGATAGGCCTGTACACCGCCAACATACGTTGCCTCAATCGATGCAGATCCTTCTGATGCAAATTCATCCCATGAATCTGTAGACAGCACAACAAAGTCCGCTAATTTACCAGGAGATAAAGATCCGACATCCTTGTCAAGGAAGCAAGCACGAGCAGCTGAGATAGTGTACCTGCAGTTAAGGGACAAGTGTGAGCCGGAACATTAGGAAAACAACATGAGCAGATGACAAGCAGTTTGCATTTTAGAAGGCCAAACACAAAATCCGATTCAAGCAGAAAGCACGGTTCAATTTACAGAAACAATATTGCATAATTGAGATACTAGAATATTCTGCAGTAAAATCGGGCTTGCATACCATTTCTTTCCTAGTATGATCATTTTCTCTCTCCCTAAAATGTCATTAAGAATCAAAATAAAAAAAAATTCCAAAATTTTTTAAGGCTTCACTGGCAATAAAATTAACTGAATTTGATATTATTGTCTCTTGAATTCTAAAAATGATCCCATGAATTAACCTCGTTTCAAATGCAATGACGAGAAAATAAGCTCATTTCAATCTGGCATGTAAACGACAACAGAATTTTTTCAGTACCTAGGAATTTTCAAATGTTCTATAAAAGTAGGGACCTGGTTTTAGTTGAGCAATAAAAGGAAAAATCTTGAATCTCCTACCTCCCTCCTTACAAAATAAATAAAATACAGGAAACAAAATAGTGCATCATCACATCATAGAATTTTTTTGTTACTGACAATCTGCTAATGGTTGTATACATTTATATGTGGGTAAGCCTTGCACCGCTAAACATGCCTGTATCACTAGCCGTTTTGGGAGCTCGGTAAATTTCAACAATGTCAAATCAGATTTCATATATTTCTATATATGAGCAATTAACAGAGAGAAGACAAATTTGATCAAATACACAAACTGAAGAATGTGATATTTTGATGCTCTTACGCTTTTAGTGCGTCATTCAGTTCAATGCACTCAGATGAAACCCAAGCATTTTCCCAACCAGGAGGAATTCTTTTTATTGCTGTCTTTATGCTACGTAAAGGATTAATTTCTGTAACCTGAGACAATGATAACAATATAAAATATTGTATATTGCAGTTGTTGTAAGAACAAATCTGAACAAATCTGAATTTTGATAAATACACACACATGTATATATGTGAGCATGAAAGAGCGAGCTTAAAGATTCTCACTGGCCAATCAGAACCAAATGCCAATATTGCATTGCCAGCCAGGAGTGACTGAAATAGATAAGACCCTTTTTGAGCCCTCTCCATGCCAAGTTTTCTTATTGCAGAATCCGCATCATCCAGCAGGTGATCTGGCTGTTAAGAATCAGGATTCAATTGTGTCATAAGTGGATGGTCCGTAATCTTATTCAAAGAGATTATAGAATAATCAATTTTTGAGTTTGCTCCTGATAATCCAAAGGAAATAATAAAAAAGGAAGTGTTCAGAAGGAAACTTGGAGGAACTCAGGCCCTGTAAGTGCGCCAGGTGACCAAAGGGCTTGTAGCCCAACAGTATATCCTCTCCTCCCCAAACGGGGAGGTTGAGGATTCATGTCCCACAAGGGACATGTTACAAAGGGTGTGTGTATTTGCTTTAATTTCCAAAAAAAAAAAGGTGCGCCAGGCAGCAGCATTCACTGTTTTTAAAGAACGCGTTACAGAAGCAAGCCTCATCAGCCTAAGCTTATAATACTCCCGAACATCCCATAACGACGACAATGCTGACATCACAATGTACACAAAATATACAAACAATGAGCAAATTAAGCTGTAGTACAAAAAAAGAAACTTCAAAAACCTGCACTGAAGCAACAATTCCTTTTTCACCAAATCGGCCTGCTGTCCCAGGTGCCAAATGCTGAGCATGTTCAACCTGCAAGTATTTGGTCCACTCATGAAAAGCAATATTTTGAGATACTACTTATTTACAAAATGGAAAAAGGAAAAGATCTACTGAATTGAATCTTTCGTGAAAAAAATATTAAATTCAATGTTGAACACATGAAACTCTTTATCTTTAATCAGATAGATTTACCCTGAATCTTCGGTCCCTCATTCCATTTGTAGAAATCACCGACTCATACATATCTAGGATCAAGTCATTTGCTCTATCACCTATAGCATGAATAGCAACCTAAAATTATCAAAAAGTGAAAATATCTATCAGAATACTAAAAATATATAATATCTATATATAGAAATATATATATCTGAAGCCTTAAACTAATTAGTAAGGGATATATATATATATATAAGTGAAGATTGACATTGGGGTTTATATAAGAAGACAAATAAGCACCTGAAGCCCAGAATTATCAGCTGAGACTGTCATGTTGAATAGACTTTCTAAATCTGTTACTTGTAAGCCATAATTGTGAGGCTCATCCTTATATGCCTAAAGAAACCCATTATCAATGCACTATGTCAATAATATTACTGACTAGATAAATAACAGAAATAGCATGTGTTTTAAGTAAGATTATGGCCTTGGATTGAGCAAAATGGCAAAACATGATTCATGTAGCTGACCCCAATAGTTAGAGAAAAGTTTTGTTGAGTTGAATAGAGTTGTTAAAAGAATAACTAAAAATTTCTAACCGAGTGTTCTAAGTCATAAGTAGGCTTGTGACCAGCTATGTGCCACTACTTAAATCAGTAGATGAACAAATGTAGGTACATCAGGAACACACTTTTGACATGTAGAGCACAGACAGGGTATATGCAGTATTCAAATATAAAGCTTTGAGTATATATTTGCATCTGACATGATGACAACATGATCGGGCACATAGCATATCAAGATACATCTGTTTGTTTGTTTCTTTTAGTGAAAAAAAAAAAGGTACAAAAATGACTTACATGTAAAGTTCCACAAAATATAAGGAGAGTTAACACCAAGGGTCTACATCCTTAAGCCTTCATTGTTTAACAACCTTATCTTTCTAGTTCAAGTATTTATCTTACAAGAAACAGAGTACTAGCATAAATTTGGCCCCAAAAATGTCCAGAACCAGAAAATGGAAGTGGTTATAGCGCTTGCATTTAACATTTATGTTCCCAACTTACAAAAATATTTTTCCAAATATTGTTGTTCTCAAGAATCTCACCTCGTGAAAGAGAGCACTGTTAGATCCCAAGGATCCATCTGCAAAAGCCTTAACACCACCTAGGTAAATCCGTTCACTCAGCTCACGACCTGTCCTGTGTATAAGATCCTAAACAGGAAACAATAAGACCTTGCAGTAAAAAAATAAGGAAACATCTGTAGAATTAACTCCAAGGAAACCTGTAAATAATAAAGGCCCGAAAAGAGATCTCCAAAAATAATTTTACTGATAGCATAAGCAAATAAGGCAACAATTAACTAAAAAAAAAACAAGAAGGCAACAATTAAAAAGATAGTTTGTTTCAATTTGTCCAATGGCTATACTTAAAAGAACAGCAACGAGAACAATATCAAATAGCAAGAACAAACATAAAGTGAATAAAATTTTCCATTGATTTATCAAAATAAAATGATGTTTCAGCCTAATATGGCAGACTGATTGTGAAAGAAACTTCGTTTTACTCGAACCCTTACTGAGAGGAAAATTAGTGTGTCAATATTGCAAATGGGCCACATGATGTGTACAACATTCCATTAATATTTTTTATAAATAGAAAAGGGGGTCCAAACAGGCCTAATGTCAAGAATTCCACAAACTCATACCATTGTGAAACTTCAAGAAGTGACATGTTGAAGAATAAAAGAATAAGGTTCCAGTAAGAACGCATTGTAACAGTAAGGTAGACATATTGCAAGTATTGGCAATATAATAATCTTTGAACAAATCATGTTAAGGGAAGTGGAGTATCTCATTGTTGAAGACATATGTAAGAAGACAAAAAAAACCTATGTAAAGTTTTCTAAAAATCATGGTGGTTATTTTCCTAAAGCAAGTAATATATAGATATCTATGTTTCTAGTCAAGTAATATTGAAAGTAATTCATACACTCATTGATTCTAAATTACAGGGTGATTCTATCATTTTATAGGCTACATAATAACATGTAAAGGTCAAGCACGTTTAAGAAGTCTTCAATTCCATTTCTCTGTCGCTCCTTTTAATCTCTAAACCTAACCTTAAATTATTGCAGTAATATTACGGCTTAACTTAAAACAATGATAATTTAGACATGTAACGATGATGATGAATTTAAACAAAAACCTTTCATACACAATTCCTCCTTTAACGCTGTCATCTTATTGCTCCTACAGAAAGGTTACATGGTAATATCATCTTCCACTATGATCAACAACAATCCTAGATGAAAATCGTTAAGAAATGGACAAACAGTGCTCATCAAGGAATTTTCACTTCACATAAACAACTTCCAATTTGACACGCAAAGCTTCACCATATTTTACTAACTAAACTGAGTTTTGAATGCAGTCTCTCAAGGACTGGACTGGACTGGTCAAATGAGCCAATAAGGACGTCAACTTAATCCCACAAATTTAGTCAAAACACAGCTAACATTGAAACAAAAGAGATGTTTTCCATTTTTTTCATTTCTTTTTTATCTTAAACATTTTTTTTTTTCAACATCCAACTTACCAAAATAAGATAAATCAAGAGGCCGAGTGATTTCAAGCACCCTGCCCTCTCACTATTTTAATTTCAATCTAATCCTTGAGTTATCATGCAAAGGGGTTGTTTGGCCGGACAAACAACAATAGTTGAACCCATCCATCAACAATCATACAGGAACACACGCACACACACAACAGTGCTTTTTTATTAAAATGCAAAAAATTAAGCAGAAAAAAGTTGCAATGACCATAAAGTAGCATTAATTACAGTCGTACAAGTAGACGTGACCATGTCTCCATTGGAAAAAATAAGCAAGCCCTGATTATCATTTCTCCTGTTGAATCAGCCCATCTGTACACATCTGCAATAATCAAGGTATATGCAAATTAAGTAGATGATGGTTCAAAATAATTTACTCCTGAACAACAGAAACTCATTTAATGAAGCAGTAGAAGAATATGTTGGTTATAATCTTTCACGGGAGTAAGTTAAATATTGAAGAGTTGCAATGTCTTGTTTCATGGAGATCAAAACCTTTATGCGTTGGTAGGCTTTCGATTCAAAATAATAGTCCGCACGAATGAAAGAGAGAGTTTTCGCATGGGTTCATCATCTAATGCAGAATTGATGCAAGAGGGAGAATAAATATAAGAGAAGCTGGGATTGAGAACTTTTAAGAACCAGTGGAAAGGAACGAGTTGTCCCCTGAATTCCTTCCTTCCCAAAGATAATAATTAATCTGGGATGGCATAAAAGATTCGATTGATTGAACGCCATCCTTGGTTGTTTCCATGAATAAATTCAACACGTTTTATTGTTCTTTCTGTAGCATTAGAATTCTGAACAAGTCTATTTTGTTTCCTTAACAGTTCTTAGAAATATAATCTTAGAATTTTAATTCCTATTATACTAATAATTATGATGACCAACCCATAAATGTCATATTCTTCAAATGATACATATACAGTAATACAACAAATAATGATATCACTCCATGAAACCTCCAAACATCCCATGACAATTTTAAGCTAAACCTGAAAAATCCTCCCATGGATGCTCTGCTGATGCACCAGGAAAATATCTCCCAAAATCAACAACTGTTGTTACACCCCTCATCAAGGCAAAATTGCTAGCTCTTACCAACGCTTCCCTCCTTTCATCTACTGAAACTTCTGGGATGCAGGCAAGGACAAGCCTCATTGCAGAATCAATCAGCAGTCCGGTGGGTTCTGCATGTGATGCCATATGTATAATTGAAATCTCCACCAAAAAATTGTTTGAACGTTAAAATCATAGAATCAACATAAAAAATGGAAACTATAAATGACCTGTGTTACAAAACATCTTAATAAATATATGAACAGGCAACTTACACAATGGTAGAATGATGAAACAGCCAGAGGATTTGTTATTAGAAAACATGCAAACAGAAACATACATAACTAACCAGAAAGAGTCACTATGTTGAACTTATGGTATGCCATGATTTATCTGTAGATGTAACTGCACGAGAAATGTCTAGATATAAATGTCAATGGACTGTTAAAGCAATAAAATATTTGATGCTTTTGTTTAAAGGCTAGAAGTTGAGCACACTGGTGCTTCTCCTATTGTGTTTTCCAGAACCTCAACAGCTGAAGCCTGAAAATGTGTGACGTTGATAGAACCGAAAAAAAGGATGAGTCCAAGCTTTTGCGCACTCAATTTTAGTATTCTCTCGAACAACTTTAAATATTGTCCTATGTTGATTATCACAGTTAAAGTCTTATATTACATTATTTTATAAATGAATGTTTCTCTCAAGCTACCCGGAGAAGGACAAAGATGCTACATGTGGCACCATAAACACACTAACAAAAAAATATAAATTTTTTTTTTCTTTAGCTACAAGTGAATAGGAGACTGTAAAGCATTGTTAGAAAAATCAATTGAAAAGATAACACAAAGTATTGAAAAGGAGCTCAGGCACCACTTTAAACATAAAAATGCACACTATCATGCTATTTAATTATTTTTATAGAATCTAAGTATTCTGCAGTAGGCATTCTTTAAAAGATATTTAAATCACATTAGAAATCCTTGACATAGCTAATTATGTAAAAGAATTACCCTAGTAAACAATCAGTCAAGAGACACACAGACCATAAAAGAACTCACTCACAATCACACAAATCCAAACAACGACATGTTTTATGCCAGTATTTTTTTCCCACCAAGTATGTAGTCACTAATTCAATCACATGTCAGATTTTTCCTTTTTTGCCCCTACAGTGTACCACAGAATCCGATCGAATCCATACATGTAGATTATTCAATCAAATTGGTGATTCAGTATCAATTCGTAGAACTTCATTTATTTTACCATTTGGAACCATTGCTAGGTTCACACTAATTTATGATCATATATGAAGTTATATGGTGTAGACAAAAGTATACACTCTGAAACTTTTGACTGTAATAGATGAATAAGGCTGTACTGACAAAAGGATACACTCTGAAACTTTTGACTGTAAGAGATAAATAAAGCGACCAAACAGAAACTGATAACTTTTACATTTACTAATCTACACCCATATTGATAGGAAATAGATGTTTATACACTCTTAATACTCTTAACCATAATTCAGCTTCAGATTTTGTTGTCAACACATAGACTCCATGTCACTTTGTTAGGCAAATATAGCAAGATTATGAACAATGTGCACATAAGTAGAACCCTGGGCAAGTCCCACATACATTAGCGCAGATACCTCAGACCGCGATGCAGATACTCCCATTTACATGCATAGTAAGGTATCAGGAAAAGAGCTAAAGCTGTTAGTTTAATTATCAGGAAAGTTGGGTACTTTCAGCAGTTAAGAAGCACTTTGATACACAAAGAAGACGTTGAAATTTACCTCTGTCAGTGCCTCTCATTATTGTCCCACCGTTTGGATCTTCTGTGTAATTAGTAATCCCTGCAGCTTTTAGTGCCAATGAATTGGCCAAGCCCATGTGACCATCCATCCTTGATATCCATACCTGAAAATGAAGATTTCTCAAATAATTAATAACAATGTAAATTAAAATTCATATAATTAGTTAAATGATGATCTCTTACAGGATTGTGAGGTGTGATATCATCAATCCAAGAGGCCATTGGCAACTCTCCTCCCCAAAGATCATTGTTCCATCCACCACCCAATACCCAGGATCCATGTTTTATATCTGGAAGGTATGTTCAGTAGAACCATGCCAAAAACAATTACAAAGTTTGATCCAATATATAAAAAGCAGTATACTGAATTTAGACAACTCTAAAAAACTACTCATGAAAGGAAAGATTCTACAAAATTTCATGATTTTAGTCCTTGTATTTTACTATGATTGTAGATTACGCTGTCAAAAATTTCACTCTTGCTGAAACATAACTGATTCATGTTAATATATGTTGAAATGCTTCAATTTTGGCTTCAGTGAATGGCTAATCAGCTCACTCATAATTGTTAAAGGCATGCCTAGCCTCCAAAAAAACCCTAGGTTTGTCAAGGATCAGTCGGAGTGCCTTAACCTACTACAGGCCAAGACCATTCAGTTAGGTTCACAAAAAACCCTCGGATCACTCTTTTTAGCTGGCTGAGCGATTAAAAGAAGGTGCCCTTATTTTTTAATCATTAATTTCTATACTTTATTTTTCTTTTTAAAGAACATTGATTTACATGCTCTACACACATCGTGGTCATATTCAATTGATCACATTGTTTAACGAAATTAATGAGCTTATGGTGACTAATATTAATTGATTTCAATGCTTGATTCCACATCCTTATAATATACTACATGTTTATTATCTATACGATTATTGCTTTTTATTGTTGCACAATTTTTATGGTATTTGATATTTGATTTAGCTAATGCATATGCATATTGAAAGGACTTATGCACATTGATTAACTTGATCCTCTAAATTTATATGTCAAAAATTCTTTTTAAATAAACTTTTGATTAGTAGTATTGCATAGCTTAAACTTTTCCACATGTACATGGATTTAGTTGAATTAATGTGCAAACTAAAAAAGATAGTTATGTTTATCTAGCTAATCCATTGAATTGACTAGTATGTGTTGCATATTTTATTTTTATTTTTTCCTATACTCATTTTACACATGCGCCTTACTTCGATCAAGCCTCATGCCTTATATTGCGCCTTGTGCTTCCAAGACCAAGAGACTTTCACACCTTAGTGCACCTTGAGTATTTAATAACTGTGCCCTCACTCTTGTTAAAATGAAGTGCACATCTCCGCAAAATTATTAACTATATTTTTGAAAGAAAAAAAAAAACTAGACTGTGTTTTTTTGTTTATGTGGGTGTGTTTATTCCAGGAAATTTACTTTGTTGTTAACATCGAAATTGACAGTAGTCTAGGAGTTCTAACTTACCATCTATAAAATTTAAGAAAAGTTCTAAGAACGAATTGGTGATGCAAATGTGCTAAGAATTTGAAAAGATTAGTCCTGAAACTTCCCTAGAAGATGCACCCTTAGCCATTTAACGTATTGGGGCCAACATATCATCATCCAAAGAACAATATTTGATCATCGTCTTTTATCACATTCTATGATTGACACTACCACAAATCAAGTAACATCATTAAGCTTTACATTCAAAACTCCTTTCCACAAGCACTAAGGGACTGAGGAAGAAGAAAAAAATGTGGATAATATTGGCAGTAACCAAATCTGGTAATTCATGATAACCAAAAGATAATTCTTGACAGTAAAAAATGCCAACATTTGTTTCATGTTGCAAAACTCAAGGGTCAAAGGAAACAATGATCACAGCTCATGACAATGATACACATAGGTACGGCTAACAAGTAAGCTTACTTGTCACTGCTTCTTTGATCCTTTGGATAAACTCATCTTTTCTTTTCACACCTCGGACTTCCACCTGCATCATCTGTTTTCATATACTAAATCAAATTTAAATTCAGATCTACCAAAAAAAAAGAAGTAAATACTGTGACTATTTTGTAGTAGAAGCATTTATCTGTAACATGAGAAAGAAAACATAAGGGAAAAATAATAACTCCGTCCAAAAATTCTTGACCCTTTTTGGGATTCCAACTCCTTAAGGAGACATACATTTAATACATTATCTCCTCTTGAAATTCCAAAACCACCAATTTGAAGTTTAATAGTTCATATTGTTAGTTGGGAAAAGTTCTCAAAAGTTAAGTATATTTTGGGAAATGAAAGTTTCAAATGGGACATGAATTTTGGGACAAGTAGAAATGGAAAAAGGGACAAGAATTTTGAGACGGAGAGAGCAGCAGATTTCTATTGAATCAAGTTGTACACCTATATGGTCTCTCCTGGTCTTTCCTTGAAATGTTTCAATATATTACAACCTCATTTTACAGATTTACTATGATAACTACTCTCCACAATCCAAGAAATAAACCTTTCTCTCTCTATCTCTCCCTAAAAAAAAAAAGGAAAAGCTTTGTTATTGAGACCAAAAGGCACAGATCAAGACTTTGGTTGTAAAAAAAACTAGGAAAAAAACCAACAATCACTAACTTGCTTGGTCTTACCCTCCATTGCCGTCCACTTTTGGAAAGAAAGCAAAAAGGGGTATGTAGGGTTAAGAAACCCCTCTGTTCCCCTCCCTTTCTCTTTCTTGCTTCCTATCTAAACAATGTGTAAGGTCCCCCTCCATTCTTCTCCTTTCTTTTCCCACCAAACCCCTCAATCCAAAGGGACTATTAGGCAATTCAATATTTCATTCATCATATTTAATCCCTAACCAAAAGTTTAGAAAAACATATGCAAAGCCAATTTAGAATAGTTTTCCAAACATAAGCCAATCTCCACCTCATACAGAAATTTGGTGCTAAAAGTATAAGATCCTACATATAATATCCCAGAAAAGTATACTAAAAAAAAAAATCCCATAAAAATAAAAATTGGACATCAGCCTAAACACTAAAACTTGTAATAGAACATGAATCTACACACTTCCTAGCAAAGAGATGTTAAGAAGAAAATACTCCAAGGGAATCATCCTCAAGCCTCTATTCTCTCTTCCTTTAAAATAAATAAACAAAATCAGGCTTGGCATAATCCTTGAAGTATCAAATATAACCAACAAAAAGCCCTTATGGAAAAATCAAATTGGCAATGCCCGACAAAAATAATTTGCCCGTTGGCATCCATTTTATACATTACTTGTCAGCTGAAATCACTCCCAAATAGGGATGGCAATTTGTGTTGATGGGTCATAACTGTGTTGTGCCGACCTATGAGTATTCAAACAGGTCAAGACCGAACACGACCGTTTAATAATCGTGTCATGGACCCTCAACAAGAACACAACCCATTTATCAAATGGGTGACACTACACAACCGATGTAACCTGTTTAATAAATGGGTCATGTAATGACACGACTCGTTTAACTTAAATGAGTCATGTAACCCGTTAATTAACTTAAGTATACAATGCAAATATAATGAAAAAAATTCGGAAATGGATGACTGAATTCATGAAAATGAGAATATTTGGGACAATATAAATTTTTTTTTTAAAATAAAAATCCAAATTCAATATCCATATTGAATTTATAATGAAATAATAGAAATGTCCATGGTAATTGGGTTAAAAAAGGTTACAGGTTAACCAAGTTGACTTGACATGATTAATTAAATGAGTCTAATCGGGTCAACGGGTTGAGCTCCAAAACACAAACACGGTTAATTAAATGAGTTAAATGGATTGACACGAACACGATTACGTTCAACCCAAACCCGCTAACTTCGTGTCGTGTTCAAGTAGTGTCCTGTTGAATTTTGTCACCCTTAATCCCAAAGACAAAAAAATTACCATAAGATTTTATTAAAGTAACTAAGAGAAATGTATGGCCTTTAGTAAATCTATTGACTACAACTACGAGTCTACGTGATACTCATATGATTCTAACCATTGCAGCTAACAATCCAAAAAAAGATCTGATTTGAACAGTTGTTTGCTCTGCCTCCCTCTCCTCTTGTCAGATTCCCAACTATCCACATAAGTCATGTGGATAATGGATAGATTGGAATTTTTCGATCAAGGGCATTGTGAGAGTGGAATGTTCCACATATCATGATAAATATATTTTTCATGAGAACAAAAATGAGTTAATATTGTACTTCTTTTCCACAGAGATTATGTTGTACTCCATGTTACTCTCCATTTAAAAATAAAAGTAAAAAACTGAGATTGTTTCACTCCAACAAGTACCCATTAAAGCCAAAATTTAGTAAGAGCACATTTAGTGCTAATTTTAAAAAGGAAAAGACAATACTGAAAAGACAAATATCAGGAGTGATTAGATATGCATAATCGATACAGTGGGGTTGCTGCAAAACCTGCAGTCCTGCAAAAATCAAGTGCACATGGGAATCAATAAATCCAGGAACCACAATTTTCCCCTCTAGATTCAACTCCTTAGTCCCAAATCCAGCCAAACCCTGCATTCATATGTACAATGCATAAGAGAAGTACAAGAAAGTAGTTCTCAATTTTACAACTTTCAAAGCCAGCTTTAAACATGAAGCATTTTATGATAAATTATTATATCTTTTCTCTATACAAGTGTCAAAAAAATCAGTAGAATCTGCCATAAGATGGACATGATCTATGTCTAAATAGTAAAAAAATTATTCACTGTTTGCGTGGCAAAGAAAAAATTATGTACATAAGAGATATCCTATATGTAAATAACTTATGAAATTATGCAAACGATGGTCAGTCAAAATGGGTTCTAACAAAACCCTTTTCCAAAGAGAATAACTTTTAGGATCAAATGTCACCAGGGTACGATTAATGGCCTAATAAACAACCCAATTGTATAACCAACAATGAAAGTTACTTATAAACAGAGAAGGCAAGATCATTATTTTACCATTTCCATTCAATTAGTATAAGAACATTTCAATTTCATCAAATTTGACCTAGAGCAATATAAAAAGGATTTTTTTTGACTTCTATTAATTGGTTGGTGAAGCTTGAACCAAGCTTTCATCTGATAGTAGTCCCTAAATTATCATTAGGCCAACACACCAAATATATGTAAAAGGAAATTAGTTCTAGGAAATTAAGTACACTTAAATTGGGGCAAAAAATGAACTACTACAAACCTATATATGAAATATACAATGTCCAAGAATGATATCTATATTCTGTTAAAAATAGAAATAATCTAGCTTGTTTGCACTTTATTCTGTACATATCCAAAAGATTGGTACATCAGAGTATGTCCTCATATCCAAAGATAAATCCATGGCTTGTATGCACTTTATTCTGAATGATGACTGCCTTGTATCCAAAAAATTGGCCTTTTCAAGCTCTTGTATGCATTTTATGGTATATCAGAGTATTTCCCCAGAAAGAGTGACGATAGGCCCTACAAACTAATACATGGTTTGTATGCACTTTATTCTGTACATATCCAAAAACAATCTGCTTCTATAAATAGGTGGGCCTTATAAACACTAGACTGGAATGTTCTCATGTCCCCTTCAATAACAATTCTTATACTATCCAACATATTCTCATAAGCATCTGAACACTGATATACTAAAATGAACACAAAATTGAGCCTGAAGAAGAAGAGAAATTGAATATAACCTGGACAGAGGAATAATTGCCAATTTGGAGAATCCGACCGTTGCGAACCACCATGGATTCGGCAAACGGGAAGGAGTCATCGCTCGTGTAGATGATTCCATTGGTCACCAGCAAATCTGCAACTACTGAAGAAGACGAAGATGATTGTCCGTGTCTCCAATTCAAGAAATCTGCAAATATATGCACACACAGATGCACAATGAAACACATGTATAAGCGTCAGTGTTTGAATCAGATACAGAAATGGTTTAAGCGTGAAGAGGTTTTAGGAATTGATAGTTACAGTTAGTGTTGAGTAGAGGAAGTAAGGCTATAGAGAGAAGGACAACAATTGAGGCGGAGAAGATTATGCAGAAATTCATGAGTGAGAGGAGAGAGTGTGTGTGTACATTCACGACGTTCTCTCTCTAGAAGTGCAAAGCTCTAGGAGAGAAGAAGGTAGGTAACGGGTCTTCTGACTCAAAATGTATATTTCATTGAGCTTCATATTGTAGGCTTCGGTTATTGGATCTCCTCTATCCATCTATACCCATTTTAAGTGTATATATATATATATATATATATATTTTACTGTCATTCGGAACTTTTTCTTGAAGTACTTGAACTCATTTTTCTTGGATTTCAATTTTAATACACTAATTTTATGTTACTGAATATAACATACATAATGTTCTTGATGTAAGGCTACGTTTCGTGTGCAAGAATGAAATGAAATGCAATTCGAAATGAAAATGAAATGAAAATGAGATTGAGAATATTATTCTAACGATTTTTGTCAAAAATACACTTTTCAAAAGCTTACATTACTTTTTAATAAAGATCTAATTAATATTCTAACAATGAATTATGGAATGTTATGAGATGCCCAATGCTACCATTGAAAAAAAATAAAGAAAAACCTTAAAATAAAATAAAATATTATTTTTTTGTCCGAATGATTGTTAATTTTTATTTTATATTATCATTGCTCCATATATAAATATTCAAAGAGAGAAAGATGGAGAAATCACACAAACGTTTCAACACAAACATAAGAATAAAAAAAAAAGTGATATACTTAGAAGATAAAGAGATTAATATTTGCAATTTGGTTGACGATTCTGCAACTTTTTGTCAATGACAGCCTTGGGTATACTCAAAAAATGGAATGTGAAATATTTTTTTGGCTATACAAAAGATTTTTGCCGTATTGGAATGTGATGAAGGGCTTATAGGAATATTAAAAAAATATTTAATCTTAATCATTCCATAGGTTTAGTAATAGAATAGATTTTCATTCTAATGGAATGATCTTGCACACCAAACAAATGAATGTTGGAATGGGCATTTGTTGTTTGATAAATGATAGTTGTCTTGAAAAAGAAAAAAATAATTTAACAATGGAAAAACTATTTTTAGGTTATAAATGGTGTTTTCGAGTTAATGGTTTGGTATTCTTAGCTACTAAATAAAAAAAAAAGGTAATATTTTATTACTTACGAAGTATATGTTATGGAAGGGGTGTACAAAAATATCAATTTTAATAAAATATTTTCTATTATGAAAAAAAAAATATTGTATTAACAAATTAACATGGTAATTATTATTATTTCTTTTAAGATTTGACAACAAATACATTCACACATTCACTCTCACACACCTTTTGTCTACATTTGGACTCAAACCCTCCCCATTCTCTATTAACATAGAACAATTATACCATTGAATTAAATACCCGATAAGCCGATTACCATTCAAGACATTTTCACGTTACTATAAATATATATATTTTTTGATAAGTAAAAATTTTATAAAAAAATGCTCAGAAGGGGAGCGAAACCCATGCAAATATAAAAGACCACAAAGGCCTCAAGCCTTCAAAGAGGCTAAAAAATCAACTACTTCTTCCAAAGAACAATGATCTCTTCCTGAAACCCAACAAAAAAGAGTAGAAATAATCGAGAATTTAAGCACCGAAATCGACAAAGCCTTTCCTTCAAAGAACCTCCTATTCCTTTCAAGCCATAAACACCACCACACACAAAGCGGCGTAGCCCTCCACGCATCCTGACTGAGAGCCCCCACAGGACAACCTCTCCACGCCTCAATCAACCCTCTAGCAGATCCAGGCATAACCCAAGAAACACCAAATAAGCCAAGTATCAAAACCCAACACTCTCTAGCCAAAGGGTAATGAATAAGAAGGTGATTCACAGACTCCTCATCACTAAGACACATAAAGCAACGGTTGACCACCACCTGGCTTCTCCTTCTCAGATTATCCTGGGTTAAAATCCTACCCAGGACCGAAGTCTACACAAAGAAAGCCACCTTAAGAGGAGCCTTGGATCGCCAAACAGACTTCCAAGGGAAACGAACTCCAGGAACAAAAGAGAGGCACTTGAAGAAAGACCTCATCTCAAAGCGCCCCTGAGAGTTTGCAATCCAAGACCAACAGTCTGAATCCTCCTCCACAATCCTCTGGCGATATAACAACTCCAAGAAATGAATGACCTCCTCGATCTCCCAATCATGAAAGGAACGCCTGAATCGAACATCCTAAACCAGTCTTCCATTATCAAGATGATAACAGTTAACCACCATGGCCTACTTATCCATAGCAATCCTGTAAAGCTGAGGAAAGGCGAGGGCAAGAGGCAAATCTCCACACCACACATCCTCCCAGAAGCGAATCCTCCCCCATCTCTGAGACGAAGTCAAATGTGCTTGGAAAAATCATCCCAACCTTTCCGAATAAATTTCCAAACCCCCACCCCCCGAGGATCTCTAACTTCCAAAGAACTCCACCCTCCTCTCATTTCCCCAAAACGACATGCCACAACCCTCCTCCAAAGCCGATGTCTCTCCACCCCGAACCTCCACAACCATTTCCCAAGGAGGGCCTTATTAAAGGGCACCAATTTACGGAAACCTAACCCACCATTGCGAATTGGCCAGGAAACTTGGTCCCACCTCACCAAATGAAACTTAAACTCTTCACCTCCACCTCCCCACAGAAAATTACGCTGCAACCTCTCTATCCTTTCCGCAACTGAAGAGGGAATCTGGAAAAGAGAGATAAAATACGTGGGAAGATAAGAGAGGGTGCTCTTAATCAGCGTGACCCTACTGCCCTTGGAGAGATACTGCTTCTTCCAACCCGCCAACCTTCTCTCAATTCTGTCCACCACTGGATCCCAAATCCCCACACACCTCGAAGGAGCTCCCAGAGGCAATCCTAAGTAAGAAAAGGGAAATGAACCAGTACGACAGCCAAGAATATCAGCAAAAGTCTCAATCTCAGGGACCTCCCCAACCGGCACCAAAACACTTTTTCCCACATTCACTTTAAGGCCAGAAACAACTTGGAACCAAATCAAAACACATCTCAAATATCTAATCTGAGAAACGTTCGCATCACAAAGAACTAAAGCGTCATCAGCAAACATCAAATGAGAGATTTCCAACTGAGAATCTGCCTCCCTGCCCACCCGAAAACCTCTCAAAAGACCCAACTCGGTAGCCCTTCTTATCAATCTACTAAGGGCCTCCATCACAAACAAGAACAAGAAGGGGGAAAGGGGATCTCCTTGTCTTAAGCCCCTTGAACTAGAGAAAAAACCAGTAGGAGCACCATTAACAAGGATCGAAAAGCGAGCACTGGAAATACAAAAATGAATCCATCTCCTCCATCTATCGCCGAACCCCATCCTCCCCATCAGGTACAGAAGAAAGCTCCAACTTACATGGTCATACGCCTTCTCAATGTCCAACTTACAAAGAACACCTGGGGTTCCACTATGCAATCTGGAGTCCACACACTCACTTGCAATAAGGACTGAATCCAAAATTTGACGGCCTCCTACAAAAGCATTTTGAGAGTTCGAAATGATGCCATCCAACACTTTCCTCAACCTTGAAGCAAGCACCTTGGCAATCAGCTTGTAGATGCAACCACCAAGCTAATAGGGCGAAAATCTCTAACATCCAAAGCACCTCCCTTTTTTGGAATGAGAGCAATGAACGTGGCATTCAAGCTTTTCTTAAAAGATTCCCGAGAATGGAAAGCATGGAAAGTGCCCATCACCTCTCCTTTAACCACTTCCCAACATTCAAGAAGAAATCTCATAGTAAAACCATCTGGACCTGGGGCCTTATCCCCATTGCAACTCTTCAAAGCAAACAGAACTTCCTCCTCAGAAAAAGGCAACTCCAAGCCCAAACACTCCTCCTCAGAAATGGAGTCAAACTGCAACCCTTCGAGCAAGGGTCTCCACTCAACAGACTCGTTGAACAAATTCTCAAAAAATTCTGAGAATCCTTTGCGAATCTCCTCCTCCTTACAAAAAATGACCCCCTCGACTCGAATCCTCCCTATATGATTGCCTCTTCTATGAGCATTAGCCAATCTGTGGAAGAATTTAGTGTTTCGATCCCTCTCCTTAAGCCACAAAGCTCGAGATTTTTGCCTCCACGAGATCTCCTCCAAGACAGCAATCTCAGTAAACTTCGCCCTCCTAGCCTTCAAAGAATCCACTAAATCCCCTTGACCCTCTATCTGATCAATAGCCGCTAATTCAGCAAGAACCCGATTTTTCCTCCATTCAAGGTTCCCAAAAACCTCTTTATTCCAAGTCTTAAGATTATCCTTTAAAAGACGCAATCTGCCTGCTAGCACATGACTAGGGGTGCCAACCACACCATACCTTTCCCACCAGAGACGGACCCTCTCCAGAAAGCCCTCAGCCCGCAACCACATGTTCTCGAATCTGAAAGGAGAGCGTGTACTGCACAAACCGCCACAATCCAACATCAACGGAACATGGTCAGAGATAGGACAAGCCAATGTAGCCTGAACAACATCAGAGAACCTCTCCTCCCACTCCCCGGACACAAGGAATCTGTCAATCCGAGAAAGGGTAGGAGGAGATCGGCCATTGGACCAAGTAAATGGCCCTCCAACCAAAGGCAAATCAATCAATCCAAACTCATCAATAAACTTCGAGAAAGCCTCCATATCAGATGTCCACCTACCTCCCGTTGACCTCTCAAACGGAGAACGAACAACATTAAAGTCCCCACCAATACACCAAGGCAAACACCAACGACTTCTAATCTCTCCCAACTCCTCCCAAAGTAAATGGTGCAAACCGTCCTCCGAAGGACCATAGACACCCGAAAAAACCCAATGAACCCCATCCTCAGCCAAAGCAAGAACACATGAAACAGATAAACGCCCAACCTGAGCATCCACTTTAGACACCCATCTGTTATCCCACATAATTAAGATGCCCCCCGAGGAACCAACAGCATCCAAAGCAATCCACTCCACAAATCTCTCACCCCAAAGACTCCTCACAATACTGTCAGACATCGAAGCAAGCTTAGTCTCTTGGAGGCACACCATATGGCCCCCACCTTTACGAATAACCGACTTCACTACTTTCCTCCTAACCGGGTCATTGAGACCCCGAACATTCCATGAAAGAATTTGTAGCTTCATTGGGAAACATTTGGAATAACCAACCCTCCTTCCCTT